CACCTTTCAGCCTTTGGACCAAAGGGTCCCGCTTCCGGCGATGGGGGTGACTTGCCGCCCCGACAGGATGTTTGGCTTACGCCTTGCTTATTGTCGGTCAACGTACAAACCCTTCAGGAAGATAGGGATGCCGGACTTGTCGGTAGGGTACCCTATGTACGGGAACAACTCGAATGGCTTGGCATCGGCATAGCTGGCCTGCAGGAGACGCGGGCCAAGAAGGCAGAAACAATCACTTCCTCTACCCATCTTCGCTACCTTTCCCCCTGTGATGCACAAGGGGGACACGGTGTCGAGTTGTGGCTATCGCGGAGTGTCCCTTTCGCCTGGGTTGGAGACTCCCCACTTCTCTTTGAGCCTGCTGATGTTCGCCTTCTCCACTGGTGTCCCCGCACCCTCTTTGCTCGTGTCACGAGGGAGACTCTCCGATTTGTTATAGTCGTACTCCATGCTCCAACTTCTGCTGACCCGCAGCGAGAGCCATGGTGGAAAGACTTTCGGGCTTGTCTCAACCGACTTGCAATGCGTGATCCTGTTGTGCTGTTAGGTGACTTCAACGCGCGGCTACCCAGCAGTGTCTCTGGCCGCATTGGCACTCTCGTCTGGGAAACTGGGCCAGAACCCCCGGAACCCCTGTACGCCATCCTACGTGACCATGACTTGTGGGTTCCTTCAACCTTTGAAGCCTGCCATCATGGCGAGTCTGTGACATGGCTTGCTCCTGGCTCCGGCGCTGCGTCCCGGATTGATTTTGTAGTTATCCCAGTTGGTTGGAGCTGCGGACAGGGACAATCGCAGGTTGTCTGTCAGATTGACTTTGGTCAAAAGGGAGTTGACCATTATGGGGTCCTTGTAAAGGCTCAAGCTAGGTTCTCGCATGTTGGCAAACGTAAGACCCGCACTCCTCGGATTGATGTAGCTAAGCTTGCCAATCCTGACGCGCGCAGCACCATCGACTCCATCTGCCGGAATCTCCCTGAGGTACCTTGGAGTGTCGATGCCCACACGCATTATGACACCGTTGCGTCATACCTCTCAGTTGAACTTGCGCGGGCCTTCCCTCGGCCGAGGGTTGTTCGGAAGCGCACTTTCTTTAGTGACACGACCTGGGGGCTTCGGCAGACCAGAGTCTGGTTGCGGAAGCAAATTCGAAGGCACAGCCTCTTTCTCCGCACCTTTGATGTCCGTAATGCCTTCCATTGCTGGCGACATCGTCGAATTTGGGTACCCAGCCATCATGGACTTGGCCGTGTTTTGACTGCCCTTGCCCATGTCAGAGCCTACCTTGCCGACTTACGTTCTCTTCAGCCCGCCTTAAAGAAGTCCATCGGGGCAGACAGAAGACAGTACCTTCATGGAGTAGCCGAGCAAGCTGCCGCTTGCTCTACAAAGGATACTGTCCAAAAGCTTCGACCCTTGATTGGCCCACCACGCCGTCAACAGCGGGGCACTGCAGCATTGCCAGCCATCCGACTCGAGGATGGCACGCTTGCCCCTGATGGTGCAGCTGCTGATGAACGTTGGCTTCGTCATTTCAGTGGTGTCGAAGCAGGTGCCCCTGTTGATCCACTTGAACATGTTGAAGCATGTCTTAGTAGACAAGCTGCTCTAGACCTTGATGCTCTCTGTCTGAACACCAAGGAGGTACCGAGCCGGTACGACTTAGAGCATCACATGCGACGGGCGCCTTGCCACAGAGCTTGTGGTAACGATGGCATTCCTGCTGACTTGCTCCACCTGCATACAGCATCTCTGTCACGGGTCGTTTTCCAAATCGCTTTCAAGGCGAGCTTCCGGCTTGAAGAACCTCTGCATTGGAAGGGAGGTACTCTCCATGCCATATGGAAGCAGAAGGGTTGCCAAACTAGCTGCGATAGCTATAGGGCTATTTTAGTTAGTTCAGCGGTTGGAAAAACCTTCCACGGGGCACTACGTTCCAAGTGCTCCTCCTTCCTCGACTTCGCCACGACTCCGCTTCAAATCGGCGGCAGGCAGGGCCAGCCAGTCGTTGTCGCCGCCCAGGCTGTGAGAGCCTTCCAGACCGCAGCACGTGCTGCAAAAAAGTGTTTTGCTGTGCTTTTCTTAGATCTTCGCGAAGCATTCCACCGTGTTGTGAGACCTCTCATACACGGAGGCGATCTCAGTGACATGCACATTGCCAGTGTTGTCAAGGAGCTTGGACTCCACCCTTCTTCTGTTGATCGCCTCCATGCCTTCGTCACTGAGCGATCTCTGCTACAGCAGGCCGGTTCCTCTGAGTGGACTGCCAGCATTCTAAGGGAGACCAGTGCTGACAGCTGGTTCTCCTTCGGTAGCTCGCCAAAAATAGCAGCAGTACACAGTGGCACACGCCCTGGCGATAATTTGGCAGACCTTCTCTTCACCTTTTTATTTGCTGAGGTTTCCAAGGTCATCAGGGATAAACTTAGACAGGCTGGTTTGAGAGTTGATTTCCCTTGGAACCCTGATTGGTTTCTACGTGGATTTGATGATACCAGCCACAGCACTGAGACGATCTCACCCCTTGACGTCACATGGATGGACGACCTCGCCGTGTTGCTTTGGGCCGACGGCCCTGACCGTCTGATCCATGCCCTTCGCACTGCAGCCACAGTCACCATTGACTCCTGCATTCAGGCTCTCCTCCTTCCGAATCTTCGAGCTGGGAAGACAGAGGCTATAGCCCATCTTGTTGGTGCTGGCTCCAAACGAGTCCGTCTTGCAGTTTTCAATTGCAAAGAACCCACGCTCGACCTGTCAGAGTCGATCTGGCCTGGGGCCAGGCTGCGTCTTGTTTCCTCTTACCGACATCTCGGGGGCATCCTGCATGTCACAGGTAGCCTTGCCTATGAGATCAGGGCACGCACTGGTTCTGCCTGGCATGCTTTCAGGAAGCACAAAAGACAAGTCTTTGGATCGCCAACTGTTGGGGCTCGAGACAAGGCGGTTTTGTTTGGGTCCCTAGTTGAATCGACCCTCTTCTTCGGAATCGGGGCATGGCCACGGGTGACTTCCTGTGATATCCAAAAGATTCAGTCCACTTTAGTAGCAATGGCAAGGAATATGCTTCGTCCGCGGTACTCTCTTGACCAAGCTTGCCACCTTAGTGCACTTTTCGTACTCTCGAGTGCCAGGGTCCTGAGTGCTGACTCAGCATTCCATGTCGAGAGATTGCGCTACTTCGGGTTAGTTGCTGTAAGGGCTAGTCCTGACCTCTGGGCCATTCTCAGGTTTGAAAAACACTGGATCCTCCATGTCCAGGAGTCACTAGAGTGGTTACGGGACAAGCTTGACCTCCGAGCTGCCCCTGCTCGCGAGATCGCTGATTGGGACGCTGCCGTCGCCTTCATCCGCTTGAGGCCACCAAGCTGGAAACGTCTTGTGACCAATGGCCGGCGGACTGCTCTGCTTCTTGAAATCTGGGAAGCTGAGGTCCAACAGTACCATGGCATGACATACAGAGCCCTAGTTGAGCATGGCGCTGTTGTCCCGTCTGACTTACGCAGCGACACCAACAGCACAGAGGTATGTGGACTTTGTAGCTGTGTTTTTCCTGGGTTGCGGGAGTGGTCACACCATGCTTTCAAAAGACATGGTCGCTGCAAGCCCACTCGTTCTCTTGTCACTGGGTCTCAATGTCCCGTCTGTCTCAAGAATTACGCTTGCAACGCCAGACTTTGCCAGCACCTTGACTACACGACCTCCTGTCGATGGGCTCTGCGCAACTCTGGGGTCCATCATGATCCAGAACCCGGTACTGGCAGCCGCAAGTTTGACAATGGGCGGAGTCAGCTTCAACCATCTGCGCAGGCCTATGGCCCTGGCCGTGTCTGGAACTTCTCTGTCGGTAAGGAAGAGTGGGAAGAGCCCTCCAAGGAGGTTCTGGATCGGCTTGAGGACCTCTTTATCGAAGGGGAACTTGCCACTGCTGACCTTCCTGACCTTGTTAGGAAGTACAAGGCATGCTACTGTGTTTGCTGCCTTCAGCAGTCCCGGCTTCGTGCCACTGCCGAGAAGTGGCAATGCGAGTTGAGTGATCTTCTTGCTGCCGATGAGGATGTGAGTGTCCAATGGTCGTCTTGGCACTCCTCTGTCGCACGCTTTGTCACTGCAGTTGACTTTACGCAGTGGCTTTGCGCCGACATTCCTGTGCCTCAAGCTTCAACCGCCACCTTCCAGCAGGCTGCGTTGAAGCTTCCGTGGCTCGACTTCCAAGACTTTTGTCTCCCGTCTGCTTGCACTTTTGATGCGTGTGGGATCGGCATCTTCCCTGATACCCCTGTTAGGGCAGTTGGGCTTTTTGCCAGAGTCCTGCGGCACACCGCATGCTTTCAAGACGGAGACCTGCCTGCGATTTGGTCGAAGGATTGAGGAATTTCGTCGAGGAATCACTGTGCTTTCCTGCCAGGGCCTCCTGATTTCCCTATCCACGCCGCGGCCACTTCGCCACTATGGCGACATTGCTGGGCCTTTGCAACAGTTGAGATTGTTCTCAGACCTTGTCCGAGGGACCATTTTCCTCTGGGGTCAGGGACTGCCGGCTGCTCTGCTTTTGCCTCGGATTGTCTGTCCTGCTGTTGAGGCTGTTGTGCGATCCTCGCCCTTCCGCTACCACAGTGGTGAACTCACTCTAATTTCCAATGTCGCCATCCCTGACGACCTCTTTGCCTGTTTCACATCTTAAATTAGTGCACGTCACGGCTGCGTTCGACTAGAACTCATTGCCCAGAAAGCGAGAAAAGCGAGTGTATGTATGTATGTATGCATGTATGTATGTATGTATGTATGTGCTATATATACATGCACCGAAGCATATATATATACACACACATACATATATGTGTATATATATATATATATATGCACACACTATACACGCATATAACCATATATGCAAAAGTACATACATATGCATATACATGTACATGTACATGTGCATGTACATATACATATACATACACATATACGCATACATGTACACACATATACACATACATGGCCTGCGGCACGCTGTCAGCGGCTGCCGGCACGACCTCCCAGGGCAACCAGACAGCAAGTACATGTTGCCTGTTTCGAGTTTAGCTTGAAAGGCCTGTCGGGGTACCGGTGCAGAGTTTATGGTTCCACAGCTTCAGTGGTGGGCAGAAGTGCTGTTTCAAAGTTCAGGGCCCTGGCGATTCGTCTCTGCAGATACTGGGCTCAATGCCTCTCATGTGTAAAGTCTAAAGCATGCTCTGAACAGCCGAGGCCACAAAAACAACAAATCAAAATTCTGGAGTTTCAAGTAAACCCTAAACCCTAAACCCTAAATCCTAAACCCTAAACCCTAAACCCTAAATCCTAAACCCTAAACCCTAAACCCTAAACCCTATCTATCAGATGTCAGGTTCTCGACTCTGGGCCCCCAACTCCAATCCTAAACTCCTCTTACACTTTACTGTCTTGGTCACCCTTGCCGATGTCATTTCCAAACCGAAGCAGGGAAGTATGTGTGGAGGGCTTTGAGCTTAGGGTCAAGGGTTTGGGGCAGGGCTTAGGGTTCTTACCGGAGGCCCTGTACCGTGGTCCGTGCTGAGCTCCAATACCCTAGTCCTCTGATTACAGCAATCCCCACAAAGCTGGAAACCCCTTTAAGGCCAAATAGTGCTGGGATTCCCTATACATTTCTCTTAAGGATTGAGGGCTATTGGGTTTCCAACTTTTGGGCTTCTGTCGTATGACTCGAGGCCCCTCAGCTCATGGGTTCGATGGCCTACAAAAGCCCAACTGTGAATCCCAGAATGTCTAGACCCAAGAGTAGCCTAGGAATAAAAAGGGTGCCCTTTTTGGTTTAAAGGGGCTTATAAGGGAACCTGAACCCCCAAAAAAGGGAATAAGGGCCTACTCTAGGTCCTAGAGAATGTAGGTTGTAACTGGCCCAGGGCCCAGGGTTGAGGGTCTAACAAACAGCTACGCGGGCAAGGGCGACCTTCCTGTAAATCCATGCATCAACAGCCTGACGAACTGCAATGCACACAAAAATCGAACACAGCGTTGAACCCTCAATCCCAACCAACTGCTTCAACCCCCAAACTCAACAGTTCTGAATCCAAAAATGCCGAACCCTAAACCCTAAACCCTAAACCCCTAAACCCCTAAACCCAAACTCTCGACCTCTTCGGCTTTCACATCGGGATCCCAACCTTCAGCCCAGGGTAGTTGTATTGCAGAGGTTCCAGGGATTCTAAGGTGTATGATTGCCCTTCTTGGCAATACCGGCTTATGGGTTTAGGCTTTAGGGTTTTGGGGTTTAGGGTTTAGGGTTTTGGGGTTTAGGGTTTAGGGTTTGGGGGTTTAGGGTTTAGGGTTTAGGGGTTTAGGGTTTTGGGTTATGTTCTACAGAATGTTCAATGGTAGTCGCAAGTGATCCTTACTTTCTTATTCTTTGTCGCCATCACAGGCACAAGCGGTGCAGCTGTCACCGGCGCAATTACTATTCGAGATGTTGCTACCATTAATCCCCCACCCCTGGACCGTTGGCTGGAGGCCCCAAAAGGTGGGATGAAGGAAGGTAGGATAAAGCATCCCTTATGTAAGGACTCGTATTTGGGGATTACCCTCAACCCTAAACCCCTAAACCCCTATGCCCTTAAACCCCTACACCCCTAAACCCTAAACCCCTACACCCTAAACCACTACATCCCTAAACCCCTTATGGAGCCTTCGGATTTCCTCGCCAGCCATGTACGAATTCAGGTCCGAGTTTCAGGTAAAGGGTAGTGTAGACCCCGGAAGAATCACCTTCATGGGAATGATAGTAAGTATGGCGTAGAGTCTAATATTACGTCTTGAGGCCCTTAAGGAAAGGGGGCTTGGTCATGAGAGGTCGCGCCCCATGATTTCGAAGTGTCCTGGGATGGTTTTCAGGGAGGCCTCAGGGGACTGCAGGTAGAGGGCCCCCACTTATGCCTGGAGCTAGAGCCCCAAATTTCTCATGTACCTCTGACCCTAAACCCTATACCCGAATATAGGAACCTGATTAAGAAACCCTGGGCCCAGAACCCCAAACTAGCAGGATTCACATAAGGAACCCAAAAGGCCCAAGGTTTCTCAATCAGGTTCCTACATTACACCCTACATGCTGAACTCGTACTTCAGGCAAGGCTTTTGGAGGTTTCAGTCTCGTACATTTCCGGCCCAGCTCAGGCCTAAACCGTGAACCCAACAACCTTAGGTCCTCATCCGCACCCAGTGCCCGCGATCACTCCCCTAAAGCCCATAATCTAGGGGCCTAAATACTTACCATTACATTGTTTTTTGGAGGGAGGGTTCCTTACACAATGAAAGTACAATGGTCCCCAAAACCAGAACCCTAGTCGAATCATTAAGGCCCCTATATTATAGAACCCTGCTATAGACCCCTTACAGGAACCCTTCAAAAGGAACCCTTAAAGGAACCCTATTCTAACTAGTAAGGCCCCGATACTTATTAGAATCCCAAGGCACTCGCCGAGTTGTCGGTCAACCCCTGGGATGAATCCAGCTGGTCAAAGTCGAACATGCCGCTGGAGTCTTGCCTGAGTTGGTTTACAGTAGAAGCCAGAAAGTTGGAACATAGCTTTAGGAGGATTAGTGCTAGGATCCCTTATACTTTACCGTAAGGGCATGAGGAGAATGATGTTCCAACTTTCTGGCTTCTACCATAGGGTTTGGGGTTTAGGGTTTAGGGATCTAACTTCAGATACCATAAGAAGGAAGCCATGGTATTTATTGTAGACCTCTATTGTAGCAGGTTTTCATCCAGGATAGCATTGAAGATAGCATAATAAGGAAACCATGTTATTTACTATAGATCCCCTTTATGGTAAAACTAAATTAAATGCCCTAGCCCCTACACCCTTATAGAACCCTTAAAGGAGCCCTTACAGGTTTTTAATATGGCAACTTAAACCTAAATTCCTGAACAAGAACCCAGTTGCTGCTGCACGTTCTCGACCACACCTGGCGGGTGAAGGTCTCGCTTATGCACGCACTTAAAGGATCATGGAACTTAGTAAGGGTCCTTCAAGGGCTCTTTAAAGGGATCTATAGGGTTTAGGGTTTAGGGTCTACCTAAAGGATCATGGGACTTACTTGTAGTAACTAGGGTTATAACTAAGGTGACTCTACTTATAACTAACTATACTTATAACCCCAATTGAGGTACTTATATAACCTTACTTACTAAGTCCTATGATCCTCCAAGCAGGGTCGTTGTTTTACACCGTTTGGCTCCTGCCTCCTGCCAACGGCTCCTAGAAGTTTAAGGTTTAGGGTCTAGTTGTGCGCCCCGCGGCGTTTAAGGTTTAGGGCTTAGGGTTTAGAGGCTTTGTTGTGCACCCCGCTGCGTCAAAACAAGGAAGCCTTGCTTTGTTTTGCAGTTGCACCGCGGGGCTTTTTTCGACCCGATGCACTGCACGAGCCATGTTTGTGGTTGTCATAAGGCTTACTATAAGGGATCTATAAGGGTACTGTAATACAGGGGCCTTAACAATTACATATACTATTTTGGGCCTTCTTGTTAAAATTGTAGTAGAACAGGCCCGTATGCGAGCAAGTCAGTGTGGGAATATGTGAGTGAGCAACCGGGGCGGGCATGCAGCCTAAAACCCAGGCGATGCTTTGCTTGGCTGTTGCAGCTGTCTAGACTCTAGACCAGATGCAGTGCACCAGCGATTGTGCTGATGTACTGCATTGGGTCTTTACCCTGCCGGCAGGGCAACAGCGAAAGAACAAAGACCACCGGAGGGCTGCGCTGGCATGATATGTACCCTTATCCCTGCATCCGAAACCCCTAAACTAAACCCTAAACCCTCGACCACTAAGAAGCCTGAAACCCTTAACCCTAAACCTCTGAAACCCCAAACCCTAAACCCTTAACCCGAAACCCTAAACCTCTAAACTCCTAAACCCTAAACCTCTGAAAAAACCCAAAACCCAAAACCCCAAAACCCTAAATCCTAAAAAACCCTACACCAAAACCCACTAAACCTCCAAAGCCCCGGAATCCTCAAGCGGCTGTGCGGCCTTTGGTTCCCGCAGACGCCGTCGAAACGTCCTCTGCCTGATACAGCGAAGGGGTCTGGGGTTCAAGGGCTTTTAGGGTTTAGGGTTACAGGTCTTTAGGGTTTAAATTTAGGGGTGTTTACAGTTTAGGGTTTAAGGGTTTTCAGGGGTTTAGGGTTTAGGGTTTTTTCGGGTTTAGGGCTTAGGGGTTCAGGGGTTGAGTATAACAAGGATTCTTTTCAGGGCTACTAGAAGGAATGCCACTACTACGATGGCTTCTCTTTTTGTTGGTCCGTTTTTGATCTCCGAAAAAACACAGCACTCTGAAGAAATGGGACCCTGACCCCTACACTGCGATTACAGAGAAACAGATTGAACCTAGTATTATCACGCCGGCAACGGCTCCAGCAGCAGATGTCCAAAACGATCTGGAAATCCCCAAACCTCATTTTTTCATAAGCCCCCACAAACCACGCACATGATTTTGCTTTAGTGGCGATTATTACTATTCCAAGCATACATTTCAAAGCCGATTCGGCGAATGCGACTCGACATGCAATTTCTTCGCATGGAACAAACTCAGGCCTCGACCCGCTTCCCCTTCCTGCCTTAACGGTTATGGTACGGTTGATGATATAAATCCTGCATTACCCATACTGAGGAATATACTATAACTCCCATAGTCTAGGGTCCTTAAGGTAATGCAGGATTCATATCATCAACCTAAACCCTAGAAACCCTACAGATCCCTTAAAGGAACCCCTGAAAGGTAGCCTTATAGATCCATCATCAACCGTAGTTCCTAAACCCCAGACCCTAATCCTCCCTGACTTTTGACCAGACTCGAGGATCAGGTTGGAGGGCTTTCCACCTCGCACCTTGACTTATAGGATCCTTGAGGGATACCCAGAGAGCCCAATACCCCTTAATTAAGGAATATGGCTTATATTATTTAGAGATTCATACTATGATTTAAGCTATATTCCTTAATTAAGGGGTATTGGGCTCTCTGGGTAGGGCAAGTGGTTCAAGCGGTGCGTTTACACACACGCACCCACACAGCTTGCTCGGAACCCCCTAGCTTTGTATAACTTACCTCCTAGCTCCTGAAGCTAAACCCTAAACCCCAAAGCCGAAACGGCACACCCTACGTTTTCAGGTGTTTAAAAAACCTATGTTTTTTTTTTGAAAACCTTCCTCATCCAACGGCTTTGGGCTTGGAAAGCTTCGTACCAGACCTGCCGGATCCGAGGGGCATCTATAAACAAGGATCTAGGGTTCAGGCTCTAGGGCTTGCGAACTGAGGGCATTTTTTAAAGTTATGAAGGCTCTCTTTTGATCTGCCCGAGTTTAGGCTATAGGGTTCAGGATGTGGGGGTTGGGATCTGAGGTTTTGATGAGCCCGGAAAAAACCCTCAATCCTGAAACCTTAACCTGCCAACCCTAATACCTAAACTAAACCGCAAACTCCGAAAACCTCAGCCTACAGTCGGCACCACAACATCCAAAAACTCCTACAAGGGTGTCTTGTAGCTTTTCTTTTAAGGTTCCTTGGAGATCGCTCCCCCCCCACCTCCCGAAACTCAAGCTGCGCGGTGCTGGTAGGAGAGCTCTCCGGAAGGTCCTTGCAAAGGTATCCGGGGTTTAGGGTGTAGGGTTTCTGGGGCTTGGGGCTCAGGGTTCAGTATGGTCCGTATGTGAACATGCCTACCAAAAGGGACTGCATGCGAAACCGATAGGTACATGACTGGATCATGAACGCTAAATCCTCATGGATTGAGTCACTTCGAATTAGCTTGCTCCTTCAACCAAGCAGCCTACCAAGTTGCTTTTATGTTTCGTGGGTATTTGCTTTTCCTCATCCATGGTATCTGGTTGAGGGTTCAGTTGGAGTGGTCGTTCGGTCGCCCACCTGCACTCTTCGGGCACTTGGTTATGAAGTCGAACATGGACTGTAAATTTGAAGTCGACATGCTAAACGATCACTAAACCCCCAAAGCACTAACCTCTGAACCCAGAGGCCCCCCAAGCCTAATTCCAAAGGCTAAACCATCCTCCCTGAAAGCTCCTAAATAAACCCAGGCACCTTAAAACCTAAGTCGAAAGCTCCTGAACCTAAGACCCTAAACCTCTAAGAAACACCTAAGCCCCAAACTGCTGAGGCTTTAGGGTCCTCGAAATCGAAGAAGCCGCCACTTCCTCCTCCAGCAGCTGCGTATTACTAGGGCCTAGGGCTTAGACTTGCGAGTTAAGGGTTTAGGGTTCTCCTGCTGTAGCTACTCACAACGGGAGACTTCCTGGACTTCGTGGCTCCTTGCATTAAAGTTCCTGTGTCCGCATTGTTCTGACGGGCTCTGATCGAGATCATACTTGCTAGAACCTCCCTGTGCTGAAGTTAAGCAGAACAGTGGAGAGCCGGGAAGCGATCTAGCGCCGCACAAACTTCGGAGGAACTTTATGATGAATATTTTGTACAGGGACGACGAGTGCATGTCATTACTCATTATTCAAACCCTCAACCCTAAACTCTCTTAAACCCTAAACCCCATACCCTTTAAACCCTAAACCCTAAACCCCACTACTCTGTTTTTTGTCAAGACTCTTGCATGGCCCCCGGGCCCTGAGCGTTTGGCAGCTCGGGATTAGGGCTATGCTTGTGGGGTCTAGGGTTTAGGGTTTAGGGTGTAGGGTCTAGGGTTTAGGGTCTAGGGTTAGGGGTTCAGGGTTTAGAGTTTAGGGGTCTAGGGTGTTGTATGTGGTTGTGATTTAGGGCATTGGGTCAAGTAGGCTTTCAGGGGCGTAAGCTGCGTCAATGTAAACGGCTAAACCCAGGTTGTGGGAGAGGGGAGAGAGAGAGAGAGAGAGAGAGAGAGAGAGAGAGAGAAGAGAGAGAGAGAGAGAGAGAGAAACAAAGAATCCTTAATGGGACGCCCTCTGTGACAATCGAGAAGCCTCCTTTAAGACCAAGCATGTTTCTGCCCAACTTCGAGAATCCCCGGCGAGGCTGTTAAGCAGCAGTGTGCTTCTCAGATTTACACAAAAAACAAGCTCCGTTGTCCTGTTGGAAGCTCCTTTTTCTAGAATGCTAGACCTCTTATGTTCGGAGCGACAGCGGCAGCCTGCACACATCTAGGGGTTATGGCAAATTCGAACCCCGAACTCACCCGCAGCACAAACCCCCAAAGTATGTTAAAAGCTGAGCAGGCATATGTAGTATCGTCAGTAGTCAATAATTAGCCGGGTTATGACCATAACCCTAAACCTTAAGCCCCTCCAAGTAGTGTTCACGATTTGCTATGTAGGACTTGAGTCCTAGGGCTCAAAATCACCTGCACCTGGCGTCCTAAATGCTGTCAGGCAGACAACTCTATGTGGTTTAGGGTTTAGGGTTATATCCTAGTCCTAAGCCCCTAGCTCCGAATTTGAACAGCCTACACTGAACCTGTTCTGCTTGAAAAGACATTAACTTGCGAACCAAGCTACCTCAACCCTAAACATTCAGCCGAAAGCCCTACCCCGACAGCCTAAGCTCTCAAAAGCCGAAAACCCCAATCTCAAAATCCAAGTCTCTTGTTCCCTTGCAGCATGTCTCATATCTATCCTACTGCGTAAATTTAAAGGCTGAGTCATGTTTCAATGCCTATACTCGGGATTAGTGATTAGGGTTTAGGGTTTAGGGATCAGGGACTACGGTTTAGGGTTTAGCCTATCTCAAACCAGAGGCGACTGGGCCTGTCGGGGCTTGAAAGGCGGTCCCCGGGGTCTCACCAACCTGGACAAGACATGGCAAGTGTTGATTGCATGTTACTTGGGGTGGTGGGACTTCAGAGCATCATATAGGGGCCTTTATAATTAGAATAGGGTTTTGGGGTCCATTATACCATAGTTGTACTACGGAACCCCCAACATAGTATTGCCCCCTATACTAAGGTCTGGGATTCAGGGTCCAAGGGTTCCGGCTTAGAGGGTGTCGGGGCCAGGGTTTAGAGATCGCAAGAGGGCCGCACCTCGCGGCTTTAGTGTCGGGTTTAGGGTTTAGGGTTTAGGGTTTAGGGTTTAGGGTTTAGGGTTTAGGGTTTAGGGCTTTAGTGTCGGGTTTAGGGTGGTGTTCGATTGAAATCGTTACGGTCATCGACAGGCAGTGCCGTCAGACATCAAGAGCACGTTGCTGCGGCTTTATTCTAATGGGCGAACTCGGAACTCCTCAACCCTGGCTCCCCTGAAGCCAAGACAACCCAAAGCCGCCCTGAACCGCAAAGCCAGGAAGCCCTGAAATTTGAAGCCCCGAGCCCCATGAGCCCTACACTACTCTCTCAAGCCGAATATAGGGGGCTTCAATCACTAGAATAGGGCTTGGGGGTATATTTTACTAACAAAAAATATGTAATCCAGGACCCCCGAAATAGCATCGGTAACTGTTAGTCCGCCTATATTAAACTGACAACTTTGGATTTGGAAGCTGAAGCAAGTTAAAGATCCCTGACGTAGACCCTCAGTCATAGGGACTCTTAGGGGAGTAAGGGGGAGGGGGTAGGGGATTATACTTCCTTAAATTGGCCTTATATTAAGGCCCCCTACCCCCCCCCGTCCCTCTACCCCCCTAAGGGTCGCCATGACTAAACAGAAGGACCATCAGCCCGCGCATCAATCTCAATCAATCTCATGAAGAATCCTGGCCTGGCAAGGGGAGGACCCACAACTTTAGGGTCTAGGGGTTTTAGGGATTTAGGGTTAAGGGATTGGGGTTCAGTAGGGTTTAGGGTTTAGGGGTTTAGGGGCTTTACGGATTAGGGTTTGTTGTTTCAGGTTTGGCTTTGAAGCCCTTATGCAGCAAGGCTTCTCAACCCGAAGAGCCTAAACCTAAAGGCCTGAAAACATAGGATATAGGGGCCCGACACCATATCATTCGGAAACTCCTGATTATAGCTATCCTCAAGTATACCCGAACCCTATTTTCATCATTCAAAGCCCTTGTGTTCGGGTTTAGGGATATGGGTCATCATTGTCACCCATGTACCGGGCGTGCCCATGCGGCTTAAGCTCTAGTGACTAGTGAGAAGAAGAACATTAAACCCTACTAACCAGTGGTTTTGGGGTTCCATTGGCTCTTTAGCTCCTTATTTAGTAGGGATTATCATCATCCTTGGCTTCTTAGCTCCCCCAATACCAATGGTTAGTTAAATTTTGAACCCTAGTCAGGCTCGAACGCATGAAGTCTTCAATCGCCATCTGTGGAGCCAATCCGAGCTACACATGACACCCGGCCGTCTCCGGAAACTTAGAAGCTCGGAGGTGGGATTTCTCGTGAGTGAAACTCGAGACCTCATTCGCCGGGAGATGCGCTCAGGTGTTGTGCATGCCAATCTGGGCCGTGAACCCTAAACCCTAAACCCTAAACCCTAAACCCTAAACCCTAAACCCTAAACCCTAAACCCTAAACCCTAAACCCTGAAAGACTTCCCACAAGTTCTTCGCGTCATCGATGGTGGGTCAATCGCCCCGAGGCCCCTGCAGCCGAGGCTCCGCGGGGTCTCCACATCTTGAGGCCCCCCATCCAGAGAGCCCTTAATCCCCTTAATTAAGCAATATGGCTTAGATTATGCAGGGTTTCATATTATACTTGAACCTATATTCCATAATATGGCTGAAATTAGATAGGGCTTCATATTATGATTTATCCTATATTCCTTCATATGGCTTAATTTATATAGGGCTTCATATTCTGATTTAAGCTACGTTCCTAAATTCAGGGGTACTGGGCTCTCGGGGCAGAGCATGGAGCTCGACCTGATGGGCTTCACCACCTCCGACGCAATCCACGGCGGGGCAGGGGATGCTTCTGAGGTTTAGGTAGAGTTTAGGGTTCGGGGTTTAGGGATTCTGTCCACAGAACCTGCAGAATCGGGTCGGGCGCTGCATCCAAAATACCCCAGACCCTGGATCCTAGAGCCTTGAACCCTAAAACCTAAATGATCTCTGGGCAAAAGAAACGCATGAGTTTCGAACCCTAAACCCCCTAAACCCCCTAAGCCCTACAAGCTCAAGGCACCTTCTTTGGTTCTTCCTGCGGTGCCGACGCGGCATCCTCAAACAGCTGGCAGGCTCGGGGGCGCCCCGGCGCTGTGAGGTTTTGCTGCGCTTAGTTTACCAGGGCTGAAGGCTTAGTCTAGGGTGTACTTAAAGGATCATGGGACTTAGTAACTAGGATTATAATTAGGGTAACTGTACTTATAACAACTCCAATTAAGGTACTCAAAACTTTACTTACGAAGTCCCATGATCCTCCAAGTAGGGTTTGGGGAATTGGGGGTTTAGGGCTCAGGGTTTTGGGGTGGGGACTTTGGGCTCTAGGGCTGCTGGGGCTTGCAGGTGTGTTCAGGTTTGGGGCAAGAACTGATCTCCAAACCCTGCACCCGGAACCCTAAATCCTAAAACCGTAAACCACAAGCCCTCAAACTTTGAGGCCCATTCCCAAAGGCTCCATGTACCTTTATATATAGCCCTAAACCCTAAAACCATAAACCCGCAAGCCATAAAACCTTGAGGCGCTAAACCCAAAGGCTCCGTGAATTTTTATAGTAGATACTTACGCCTTAAAGTGGGGTCCTACATAGGTACTTTAAGGACTACGTATATACTATGAAGGGTACATGGAGCCTTAGGGAAACCGAGTCTGGGATCCCCCGCAACCCTGAACCTCCCGAAACCCTGAACCGCAGTTGTATTTTGATTTAATGTAGGAAGCCTCATAGTTCTTTTAAAGGGGTGCTATAAGGGTTCCTACAGGGGATCTATAATAATAAGGGTACTAGAATAATAATGTAACACAAACGGAAACATGGATAAACTTAGAAAACTTCGAAGGAACCCATATGAACCCATTCATTGGCTTCTGCAACATCCACCCAAGAAGCCCTAAGTAGAAATCCGGAAACGCAGGGAACCGCAAGAAACCCACATAAACACAAAGAAGAGCATACATGCAAGTAACCTTTAAACCCAGAGCCCTCAACCTCAAAACAGGCTTGAAACCCGAAACCCGAAACTCCAAACCCTCTAAAAACGACTGGATCCGAAACCCAGAACCCTCCACCCGAAATCCAACAGTTCAACATGAAGCCCTTGGGCCCATGCGGGACTCTGGTCGGCCGTGCCTGGCTCCTTTCCCTCTTCTCCTGCATAGGACGTTCTCAGGCTTAGTTTTGACTATACTGAACTTAGACCCTCAGCACAAATAAAGATTTTCGCTGAACTTAGATCCTTAGAAAAAACAAGAATGCTAGCTGTTTCTTATGGATTACTATAACCAAAGAATTGAAAGATATTTTTAAGTACCCCTTAGTAGAACCGAAACCAGTAACAAAACACAATCCTAACACCCTCAACCAGAAAGCCCTAAACCCCGAAACCCGATTCCCAAGACCTACTTAAGCCCCGTACTATCCCCAAGAACTTGGATTCTAGGCTTGTCAGAACCCACCGGCTGGCAGAGGCAGACATGTGGGATGGCTTTGAGTGGGCTTTGCAGGCACGGTTTAGGGTTGAGGATTTAGGGTTTAGGGTTTAGGGGCTTCCATGATCTGGCATGGGGTGTTGGCTTCGGGCTTGGGGTTGCGGACTTACGGGTTTAGGGCTTATGGCTGATGGTTAAAGCATCAGAATAGGGGGCCCAGCAGGGTCAGGGGATGTTGCGACAAAATTCAAAAAGGACCCCAGTAACTAGAATAGGGTCTTGGGGTATACCACGGCATGATCGAAATACGGAACCCTAAGCACTCTTGCTAACCACCTGTTTAGTAAGACCTCTAAAGTATTCAGACTCCCTGGAGGGGAGAGAGGCTGCCCATAGAAGCGTGGGAGTTAGGCTCCCTTGGATCAGATCAGCTCATAGGTCCATGTTCCCAGAGACTCCAATATCCCTTAATTAAGGAATATACCTTAAATTATAGTAGGATCCCTAATATGATTTAAGGAATATTCCCTAATTAAGGGATATTGGAGTCTTTGGGTTTGGTTTAGGGTGAAGGGTGTACGACGACTATAGTCCGTATGCCACGCGACACCGAATTTAAGGCTAGGCCCAGGTAGAAATTTAGCCAGTCCCACAGCCTCCAATCCCAAACACAGGACTACTTTCCGCGACCTTGGAAGGGCCTAAGACCGTGCCGTCATCGCGGCCACGAGCCTTCGCATAAATGTCGAAACTTGTCCCGGAGTCGCAGTCGAAGGGTCAGGCTCCTGCAAACACTGCCGGCAGCGCTGCTCCGCTTCTTCTTGAAGGTCTTCAACAGAAACCTGCGTGTCTGGAACTTCATGCGCCGCCTCCCACTCCGCAGAAGTGGGACGCATGTCCTCAAACGTGGGCTGTAACGACTCGGACAGCTGCAACTGCGTGCGAACCCACTCAGCTTTCACACTAACGAGGCGCAGTTGCGGGGCGTCACCTGAACCTGCGGCTGACTAATACAAAGGAAAAGATGAAATTTAACCGAACTAAACCCTCGTTGGCGAGACTCCTCAATCTTACCCTGCCTAACCGAACATGGAATTCCATACAGCCTCTTAAACCCCAAACACTCGAAACTTGGCTGGGAAAGACGAACTTGTGCAACGGAAAGTTTCTGAACCCGAAACTGAAGTCAGAAAGCAAAGATTCTTCAATCCTTGCAGATATCACATGCTACCGACGACTGAAATCAGTTGGCCCTTCAAGAACAATCAACCCAGAATCTTCTTAACGCTTTAGGGTTTAGGGTCTAATTAGGGTTTCGGGTTTATGGTCTAACTAGGGTTTAGGGTTTCATGCTAAGAGTTACACGTCCCCAAACCCTAAACCCTCCGTAAGTCCCCGTCTCTTTGCAGGGAGAGCCTTCCGGACCGAAATGAGGAGTTGCCGGGTCCTCCGAGCATTTATGGGATTTAAGTACCCATAAAAATGCACAATGTTACCCAACTATGACAAAGAGTGCATCAAACTACATCTATACAGGGACTAGCAGGGGATAAACCTCCCAATCATTCCGGGCGTGGGTGTGGCGTGTTGGGGCAGTCTGCTAAGGGTCCAAGCAGTCCTTGTTTATGGCTTTTGGTACTTAAAAAACACCTGGAGTCCTATAATAGGAAGTAGTAGGACCCCTAAACCCTACTGTAAACCATATTTAAGTGCCAAAAACCATTAAAAACCACAAATAAGGACTACTTGGACCCTTAGGGTTGGGAATGAGAGCTGTGGGTCTGACGTCGGAACGGGACGTTGCGAGGCTTTGGGCTTGCGCCTTCGGCATTACAGTCTTGGGAGTAGTGGTGCATGCGTACAGTAAACCGTTGATTCTGGGTAGTGCCCCGATACAGTAACAGTCTATAATAGGTCTACTATGAAAGTCCTAATACATCTATATTATGAATATTATTCAACTGTTACTGAGTGGGGGGGCAGTACCCAACGTTGATTCATAAACCCCCTACCTTAAAAGGGATTATACTAGCGATCCTAATTGAGGCCTTCAAAGAAAGAAGAGGCCTTTTTTGTTAGGGTTTAATTGAGCTTAGGATTTAATTGGAGCGAAGAGTTTCAACCTGAACCTTGAACTCTACACCGTTTCAAGGCCCACCAACCTTATCCCCTGAACTTAATGTCGGGGCCTTGATGATTAGAATAGGGTTTTGGGGATATTTTTTACTTTAATTATAATAAGGATCCCCCAAACATGGTCTTGGCGAACATTTTTGAGCTCCCAACTTTGCGGAATGGGGATCGTGTCTTTTTTAATCATAAGGACCCTTAGGGGGTTAGGGGGAGGGGGGTAGGGGGCCTTAACACCTACAATCAGGACTGAATAGGGCTTATTTAAGGAAGTATAGTCCCCTGCCCCCCTCCCCTCTACCCCCCCAAAAGGGTCCCTACGGTTGATGATATAAAGCCTGCATTATCCATAATAGCGAATATACCGTAATCGCCATAGTTTAGGGTCCTGAAGGTAATGCAGGATTTATGTCATCTCAGTATGGTTTAAGGCATTCAAGACTTCATCGCTCTCGTAGCTCCTCTTCGCTATCTGCAGGCCTGGGACGTGATGGCTGCGCTGAAAGCTACAGACTATTGCGCTTGGGGTTTGGGATCTAGTATAGGGTCGAGGATTTATAGTTTCGAGTTTGGAGTTTAGGGTTTGGCAGTTTGGGTTTGTGGGGTTTTAAAGTGCAGCAGCACCCCTTTCCTCCAAGCTTGACTCGTACAGTACAATAGAACTAGCTAGCGAAGATCAGGCCCTCGTCACCGGTGGCTTCACTGACATGGGTGGTTGTCAAAATTTGGCTCCCTTTTTGGTTACGTACCCTAAATAATAGGTGCCGTATTATAATAGGGACCCAACAAGGACCATAATTTCGACAACCACCCACATAGATGCAAGGCTATGTAGTTTTGAGAAATGCTGTTGAGTACAATATTGGGTACAGTATCGTCCCGGCAGAGAACACGAGGCTTTAGGGTTTGAGGCTTCGGGTTACCGCAATGACCCTCCAAGTGTAAGTCTCCATGATCAGGACCCCTCTGAAAGTCGGGATATCCAAAGCTTGAAAAGGGTTTTGGTGAAGGGTTTAGGGTTTAGAGTTTAGGGTTAGTGTAATGGTCTAGTACAGACCAGATGAGGAGATCAATACTGTTCCGACCTCGATATTAATCCACCATAAGGCTCCAGCTCTCAATCTTTTCGAGACCCGCACACAAGATTCGAAAACTGAATGTTGCAAAAAAATCTTATCACACCCAATGCCATGAGCTGCAAGACCGCATGGAACCCTCACCGCTAAACCCTAAACCCTAACCCTAAATCCCTAAACCCTAAAGCCACCACTCCCGACTTTTGCTGGCCTCACTCCACAGAAGCGCACAAACCAGCTGCGAAAAAGCGCCCGATGTTCCCCTTCCCTTGGCTTGTTGAGGGTTCGAGGCCCTCGGTTTAGGGTTTAGGGTTCAGGACTTCGGGTTTCGTTATCGATCCTTCTGCGAAGGGTTTAGGGTTTAGGGTTTAGGGTTTAGGGTTTAGGGTTTAGGGTTTAGGGTTTAGGGTTTAGGGTTTAGGGTTTAGGGTTTCGAAACTTCAATTGTGCGAGGTTTGGCGTTCAAGCTGTATGCCTCGGCGAGCTTTGGCGATTTCGATGCTCTTCCTTATGCTAGGGATCCGACTACTGCAGTAGGGCCTTTACAGAAGGTGGGTTCATGAAAGGATGTAGGGTTTGGGGGACTAGTATTACACAATAATCCATGGTTTGATTTAACCTCGAATATGGGGTTGGGGCTTACCAGTCAAACTATGCGTGTTGACGTATGTTTCAGTGCTAGTTGGCGCGTGCTGCCTTGTAATTCTATAACCGTCTCGAGTTGACCAACCCTTCCCTTCCTTTTTTTGCCCGAAAGCATAACCCATGAATCTGTTCAGGTGGGGTTCGTTGGATTTGTGGCGCCGGGTGCGCACCTAACACTGTTTCCAATAAACTCCGGCAAGACCCTCTGTGCGTACATATCTATCTATAGAAAAGGATATATATGTGTGTGTATAATAGAAAACACACGTGTATATGTGTGTATATTGTGTGTATATATATATATATACAAATACCAAACCCAGACGAGCCAATTCGAGAAAGGGTCCTATTCAAAAAAGGGCGTAGGGATGAGATCAGAGAACTGAGCCCGAAGATTAGTGATGAATCTCGACGGCCTGGGTAGACTCAAAAAGAATTTTGCTTGGAACTCCTACTACAACTATACTGTAGTATACCTGTAGATTAAGGTTCCTGTGGAGTTCCTTACTCTTACAGTATACCCATAAACCCTCCAAGTAGTAAAGCCTCTATCATTAAACCCCACAATACCCCCTTAAAGCAACACCTTGTTGTTAGCTTAAACGAATGTCCTAAAGTAGCATGGCCTCTGCAGGTCTGCGCGTCAGCTTCTGTCTTTCTGAACTTAGGGCTTAGGGCTGCGGGTTTGGGGTTCTGGGTTTTTCGGGGCTTGGGTGTAGGTTTCCGGTTTTAGGTTTCTGGGGGTTTAGAGGCTCCCAGAGAGCCCAATACCCCTTAATTAGGGAATATCTCTTAAATCATAGTATGAACCCAATTATTATTTAGGCCATATTCCTTAATTAAGGGGTATTGGGCTCTCTGGGAAGCTTCTGCACTCCGTCGAAGGCGAACGGAAGGTAGAACGTACGGAGTGCACTGAGGCTGTCCCCACTTGGAGGATCATGGGACTTAGCAAGCAAGGTTATAACTACCTTAATTGAGGTTATAAGTAGTTATAAGTAGAGTTACCCTAATTATAACCCTAGTTACTAAGTCCCATGATCCTTTAAGCAGATACGACAGGCCAAATCCCAATCTGGAACCTGCATGCGCAATGCCTATTCTTCACGGACATCTGTCGGTCAGAGAAGCAAATCAAGCGAACCTATGTCACTTTGGCCTTAACATTTATGGTACATGGTGTTCCCAAGAAACTAAAACCTTACACACAGACATGATACCATTCTGGTTTCATTATCATTGTATGGGGGCTATAAGGGTGAATCACCACGAAACATTCTAGATTCTTAAACGTGCTTGGCCCTGAAGTTGCAGATCACAGGCCAAGCTGCTCTATGCCGAAGTCTTCGAAGATCTGTTCATCCAAGCACCTGAGGTGTGCGAAAGACAAGACTTGAGGGCTTGGCTAGGTTTAGACCGGTTTAGAGTCATATGTCCAAACCCAGAGAGCACAATACCCCTTAATTAAGGAATATGGCTTCAATACTAATTGGCTTCATATTATGATTTAAGCTATACTTCTTAATTAAGGGGTATTGGGCTCTCTGGGAACATTTCAGTACTTACATCAATATAGGTATACCACATGTTCACGCACACTGTATGACCATCGGACACGCATATTAAGAGTTCACAAATGCACTGGTGTAGATAACATACCTTAAAGAATGCTGTGAGCACCCACACACACACACACAAACACACGTCTCTCCAATATATGATGCTATTACATGCGGATCCCCTCCGGCTCGCACGCAACATGCAAGACGTCCTCAATGAACACAGCCTTCGCAAAGGTCTACGGATCTCGGTCTTGCCGTCACCCGAGTCGTCGAAGTACTTCCGTCGCAGCTCCTCCGGCACTTTCCTCTGGCCACCGGTTGTGAGCTTCAACACCCAGACCCCCGGGAGGATCCAAAAAGTAGATCCCATAATGGGGTTCCTATAAAGTACCCTTAGAAGTCTAGGGCCCCTAATTAGGGGATCTAGAAAATCAATACCCCTTTATTAAGGAATGTAGCCTAAATCATAATATGGAGCCCTCGTCCTTTAAGCCATATTTCTTAAGGAGCATTGGGCTCTCTGGGTACACTCCCAAAGCCCGATATAATTTAAGCCATATTCCTTAAAGCCATATTTCTTAATTAAGGAGTATTGGGCGCTCTGGGAAGCGATTCCAGCGGGCTTTGGCTGCCGCCTCGCGAGATTTGCCCCTTGACTCCGCGGCTCGGACCTAAAGTAGAAGGTCGCAGGACCCCTAAACTCTAAACCTTAAACCCTAAACCCTAAGCCCTAAACTCTAAACCCTAAACCCTAAACAAGTAGCAACTTGGACCCTTAGGGTTGGGGTTCCGTCAGCTGGAAATCTGCCCGATGGAACGCCGCTGCACCGTGCGACTTGGTCACGCAGGGTTCGGCACCAGCGGCTTGCTTGGCATGTGCCTTCTCGACGGTTTAGGGTTTAGGGGTTTAGGGTTTAGGGTCTCTGCAGGAGCCAACACCAGCTTACTTGCATCTGCCTTCTTGAGAAGCTGTGCTTCTCAAATTCTTAACCCCAACCCTTAAGCTCGCACGCCCTCCGCCGAAGGTCTAAGGGTCCAGGGTTTAGGGGTGGGGTTCTTTTATGGGTTGCCTTCAGGGTTCCTTAAGGTCTCCTATTCTCCTTGCAGTGCAGGTGCTTCAGGTCCGACTCAGCCGTGTTTGCCGTGGTGTAGGTGGTAGTGATCCTCGGCACCAGGTCATCTGAAAGGTTTAGGGTTTAGGGTGCTTTGGGTTTGTAAGACCAGACAAACATAACGGGAGGTCCGCGTTTTTATTAAACATGTAGAGTCCTAAAAGATGGCCATTATGATGATAGTAGGTTTCTGGGGTATAGTAGAGACTATGTACCTGGAAGGAGTAGGGTTTAGGCCTTTGGTCCAGAGCTCTGAGTTTCTCTGGAATCTGCCTTGATTACTGGGCATAAAAGACACCCTAGTGACCCTAATGCCAAGATACTTATGCTTAGGTGCTTTTCGGGGCCCGAAGTTTCGTTTAGGGTTCGGGTTTTCGGGCTGAACACAAGTTTGCGACTTCAGAGGATTACCTTCCTCAGGACTCATTACCTGACTCGGGTTTAGGCCGTCGGGTTTAGATTTAAGCAAGGGTTCTCGAATGTGAGGGTTACGGCTAAGGGTTCCCGGTTTAGGTACTCAGTCGCTCTCCAGGTGATCGGAAGCAGATTCAGGATGCACTCCAAGATGATTTCTCAGAAGGTTCTGTCCTTTCGAAAGGGTAGCTTCAGCAGCTTCCCGTGCCAGTTTCTCCCGCAGTCTGTTGCGAACAGAGCCGTCCTTAACGGATCATGGGACTTAGTAACTAGGGTTATGATTCGGGTAACTCTACTTAAAACTACTTATAACCCCGATTAGGGTACTTATAACCTTACTTACTAAGTCCCATGATCCTCCAAGTCTGGATGGTGCCATCGATCGATACCCGATCTTTGTTTTCCGAACCGGGAGGTAATGCCCTGAACACGTAGTGGCCGACGATCGCGGACAAGCTACAGCTGTAAGGGCTGAGGAATCTGAGTGCTTTTACTTTATCGGGCCCCCCCGCATAACACCCGTATCTACTCTTGCAAAAAATTGTCTAAGAGCACATGAAACCTTGATTAGACGTATCATATAAGCCTGGTTTTCTAGCCCACGAAACCTGATCCTTTGTTGACGCACGAATTTCTCTCCTCCCTTCTGACAAGCTCAAACCCTAAAGGGCTTAGGCTTAGGTATGCTTGCAGACCTATACACACAAACGCAGCCCAGGCCGAAACTACTCAAACAAGCCAGAGCATGCCCGTCGAAAACCCATGGGTCCTAGGTGCCAAAATCCTAAACCGAAGCCGTGCTATGGGGCCTAGTTAAATGAATAGGGTCCGGGGGACTACACGGACTGTCACGATCACCAGGTATTCAGGCCCCTATATAGTACAACCTTCACTTCAGGCAAAGCTTCTGCGACACCGTGTCGTAGCTTTCCTCCACAAATCCAGCACAGTATTCTTCTTCGTCCGGGAAGGAAACGGGGAAATGCGAGGCATAACCCTACACCCCGGGCCTTAACACCAAAACCTTGACACCTGAAACCCTCCAGTGGTATAATATCGGGGCCTTAACAATCAGTATAGGGTTTGGGGGTATAGTATACCATAATTAGAAATGAGGAGCCCCTAAAACCATGTTTTTCCCCTAAGCCCTGAACCCGAAACTTCTAATCCGAAGGCCCGACGACGCCCCTCTGTTTTCGGAGATCCCCCCGCAGCCTGGGTTGGCAGGGAAGACCCCAGAGTCGTAGATCCGACACAGATACCCCCAACAGCCCAAGCCTTAAGTCCAGAATGAAGGAGAAGCTGAAGCAAGGCGCATGGTAGGTTTTAAGCTGAAGAGAGTCTAGACAAATTGGATTATGGCGTGATAGGTTTGTAAGCTAAAGAACGTCTAAATTGGATTATGGAGCTCGTGGTTTTAGATCCAAGAGTTCGTATGTCAGCCTCGGGTCCGATTCCACGATTATTTTCCGATATAGGTTCAGATACGGGTTTGAATACGAATAGGCAATACGGTTCGAATACCAATACAGGTTCCAGATCGGTTTCAATACGGGCTGGCATACGAACTGGGCCGTACGGAATACGGTTTGAATACGGGTTTGGATACGGGTTTGAATGCGGGTTCCAATACGGGTTCCAATACAGGTTCCAATACGGGTTCCAATACGGTTCGCCAACGAGGGTGGGCTGGCGGAGCGGCGAGGCGGGACTGGTGGGGCTGGGGCTGGAAGCCTCCCCAAGATCTTAGTCCTAGGCCTATTCAGAAACGTTTCCATATTCCTATGAAAGATCCTACGCAAACCCTTGTCCCAAATTGCCTATTCAGAACCGTATCCAAACCCGTATTGAAACCGGTATTCAAACCCGTATCCAGATGGCGTATTTAGAACCGTATCCAAACCCGTATTCAAACCCGTATGTACACCGGTGTCCAGACCCGTCTCCGAATGTGCATTAACACCGTATTGAAAACCGTATCGTAGTTTTACAACCGTATCTACAAATCGTATTCAAACCGTATTGAAACCCATATTGGGAAATTACAGGCCGGAATGCCTTGCCAAGCAATAAACGAACTCTTGGTTTTAGATTGGTGAGGGTTCAGGGTTCTTCGTTCAGAGCCAGGGTGTTGGAAGCGGTTGCCGCCCTGGCTGGCGGTATTTTCTGTTTGTCGCTCATGCTCACCCCTAAGCCCTACTAGAAGCCTGAACCCGGAACCTGTCTCGCTTACTATCTTTCTTGGCTCCTTGCTTGATCCTTAAAACTTTTTGCGATGGATGAATTCCTGCACTACCCGGAATTTGGAGGGCTTCCTAGGATTCCATTGGGCTTGCAAGAGGGGGGGGCTCAAAAGCACATTACGATCACACCCCAGGGTACTTCAGATAATCCACAGCTTTGTGCATCACAGTCGGACCGAATTCAGTGGGATGAATCCCCGACACATCCCCCAAACCGAAACTTTTGAAAAGCCTATTCATACACAAGACCTGCTTTGCTTAAACCGTAAACCGCTGGACCTCTGCCTTGTCTCTGACAGCCCGTAGCTCCCTATCAGTGCTGTGGGGCCTTAAGACCGTAACCGTCTCTAAATCAAATGCTGGCAGGCAGGGCACAATCTGCCCTGCGCGCCAAACTTCGGTCCATCCCACAGACGTGGGGGCTCCCGTTGAATCGATAGCGCAGCAGCTCTCGCAGGTCTGCCGAGTTGGGTGGTTCCATGTGGCTTTATCCAGACAATCTGCCATCCCACCTTCGGCTTGGGCTCAGGTGGAGCCGTCCAGCCAATGAGCTCCTCTCACGCCCCCAAAACCATGCGCGACTGATTGGGATGGTACAGCTGCCTGATGTCCGACGGTTCCATGTCGAAGAAGACGCCATCATGGAAGCCATCATGCGGCAAAGCTCAGAAGCGCGAGCATAAAAATAGTCCTTTGCTCGCTGGACTGCCTGCTTATCAAGCCCGGTGATAAACAGGGAGCCTCTGCTTTTTCAACCTTCGCACATCACAGCAGGCCACAGCTGCCACATCGTGAAGACCGTGTGCAAGTGCCCAACTGGACTGCCCAACTGCCAAAGTGCGGCTTACCTTTGGTTAGTAGGGAATGGAGGAATGGGGTAGAATTATAACTACCGTTACTGCCATTCTTCCATTCCCTACTAACCAAAGGTAAGGTGGTGGTGAACTGGGGCGCCCAGCTAAGAGCCCCACTTGGGATGCCTACCTGAGGCGCCCAACTGCGGTTGCTCAGCCCAATCTGAAATGACCAACTGGATGCCCAACAAGGGGTCCCCAACAGGGGTCCCCAACAAGGGTCCCCAACAGAACTCCGGAACCCTAACCTACAGCGTAAACCATAAACCCTACTACCCACCCCCAAAATCCTCCCTAAGGCCCAAAGGAGGGGTCTTGGTAATTAGAATTGGTTTCAGGGGTACATAAAATCTAAAGCTTAACCCAAAGATGGACTACGAGGAGATCAGACCCCTTACGCTCTGTGCGAAAACAGGGAGGTCCTACAGTCATACCGGCAGATCCGTTAGACCCACAAGCAGACAGACTTAGTAAGTCGGTTATAAGTGGGGTTCTATTTGGGGGCAACTCCATTTAGGATACTTATATCTCTACTTATTACCTACTTACTATAAGTCCCCTGGGCCTCTAAGGAGGGTTCAAGTTTCCCTCGTGATGCCCCGCATCCTCGCCCTGTCGGAGTCCTGAATCACCGGCAGATACCTCTGCAGAGCCATACCCGGATCCATGCTGGCCAGCCAATCCTGAGATTTGCTATTAAGTAGAGCTTGAAGTTTAGGGTTTAGGGTCTAGGATTTAGTATTAAGTCGAGTTCGGGGTTTCGGATTTAGTGTTTACGGCTTGGGGTTTAGGGTTGGTGCTGAGGGCTTTGGGATCTAGAACATAGGAATTCGCAGTCCGGGAGTCCTGAACTGGACTTCGATCTGGGTGGTTGTCAAAATTAGGGTCCCCTTTTGGGTCCCTATTATAATACGGCACCTATTATTTAGGGTACCCAAAAAGGGACTATAATTTTGACAACCCATCTGGGTTGAACGCCGAAGCTGAAGGATCTCAAGCACTGCCTCTAGCTTTCAGATGACTGTACAGGCTTTAGGGTTCGGGGCTTAGGGTGGAAAAGAGTTTGAAGCAACAGCAAGCAAGCAAGAAAGCAGGAATGTCTTCAGGCCCCCAGCATTGCAGCCTCTCCAAATCTTAGATCCCAAGACCCCTGACTTGGGATCCTTAGCCCCCAAAACCCCCAAAAATAACCTAGAGCTTGGGGGTCTAGGGTTTAGGGATCTTAAGCCCGCAACCCCCAAACCAAAGCCTTCGCGAATAATTAAGGATCTTAAACCACAAACCAAACAAAAACTCAGCTACAAGCACCAACTCCTCGACGGTGGGGGCATCTAAAAACCGAAATTGTTAAGTGCAAACCAACAGCACGAGCAGGACGACGCCGTCGAAGTAGTGTTGATGATGTAAATCCTGCATTACCTTAAGGACCCTAAACTATGGGAATTATGATATATTCCTGATTATGGGTGATGCAGGATTTATATCATCAACCGTACGAATAAGAACAACCACCATCAAAATGGAGAGAAGGGCCCTAAACCGAAACCCTGCAATATCAACTCTAAACCCTGAAACCCCAAAATCTCCCTAAGCCCTAAACCCTAAACCCCAAACCCCAAACCCTAAACTCCTAAACCCCAAACTCAGGGCCCAGGCCGCCCACCTTCGATGGTGGGCGGCGCTTATGCCCTTCGACATCGATGCGCAGGTCGATCCAGGACGCTCCCCCGCCGTCCCACAGCCACCAGGGGGGGCTTGGGGCAAGACCTGGACAAAATTGCAGGCTCCCCCAGGCAGGCCCCCACACCCCCCGGCCCCCCCAGACCCCCCAGGCCCCCCCAGGCCTGCCAGGCCTCCCTGGCCTACTTGGCCTCCCTAGTTTCGCGCATAGAGGTCTCTCCAGCCAAGTGCCAAAATCGAGGTCACACTCTTTCTTTGTGTGGGCCTGCTACCTAAACCCTACGGAACTTCAGAGTCCTGCCCTGCTTGCCTGAGGTTGAAGAAATAAAGAAAACCGTAGAATGAGTTTAGGTGCTAAACCCTAAAAGGAATGGGTGGTTTTGCCGCCTTAGACGGCGTGGGGTGGGAGAGTGAAAATAAAGAGCCAGCCACAATCAGGCTCAAACGTTCAATCGCCAGAGGACGATGCACTCGAAATTACATTGTCGCAACCTAATTCCGCTTATGCGCCCTTCGACGGCAAACCCTAAACCCTAAACCCCCAAACCCTAAGCCGAGCCCTGAGACGCTGAAGGAAAGATGGCGAAGATCGACGACGGCATCCTCGCAGGAGAAGGCGTCACCGGTTTGGGGATCGGCTTTGGGGGCTTAGGGCTCTTGGGGTTTAGGGTTCATGGCTCTGCGATGGCTTTAGAATTTGGGGGTGAGGATCATGGGACTTAGTAACTCGGGTTAGAATTAGGGTAACTCTACTGTGACTTATAGCTACTTATAACCCCAATTAACCTTACTTACCAAGTCCCATGATCCTCAAACCCTATAGATCCCTTTAAGGAACCCTATAGATCCCTTTAAGGAGCCCTTTAAGGACCCCTTCCCAAGTCCCATGATCCTCCAAGCTGTCTTCAGGGCCGGGCAAGGCAAAGTCTACGCAATTGAGGAACCAATGTAGTAACCCTACCTGGACCCTAAGGAACCTACCTTTTTAGGGTCCTTTAATATGATTTCTTTATATAAGTCCTTAAAAGGTAGGTTACGTGGGGTTAAGGTAAACCATGAAATCTCAAATACCAATGAAACCTAAAGCCTCCATCACAGAGCCCCTAGAACCCTAAACCCTCAACCGCAAACCATGAACCCCAAACCCTTAACCCTAAAATCCTAAACCTAAACCCCTAAACCCTAAACCCCTAAACCCTCAAACCTAAACCCCTAACCCAAACCCCTAAACCTCTAACTGCATTGATTTGGATTTCGCTCCCTTGCAGCTCCTCCCTGGCGGCCGCCTGCGAGCACGGCAGCGCCGGCGCCTGATCTTGAGAGCCATCTCGCAAAATTTTCGATTCTCTTCATAAAGGTTACTAAGACAGTTAGGGCTCTTTTAAAAGAGTTCGAGAACAGGGTTTTAATAAAATCCCCCGAGGCTCTTCATAAAGGTTACTATTACAACTAGGGCTGCTTTAAAAGAGTTCTAGAACAGGGTTCTGTATACAGGTTCCTTAAAAGGGTTATTTAGAATCCCTCGACCTCCCGCAAGGTCTAGCGCTTGGGGTCGGGGACGTGGGGCTTGGGACTTAGGGATCTAGGGAGCAGGGTTTGCGCTTGCGTGTGCAGATATTTGGGGTCGAAGTCTTCGGTTTCAGGGGCCTGGGGTGCAGGATTAAGGGGTTTAGGGTCTAGGGTTCAGGGGCTGACGGGTTTCTGGTTTAGGAACTAAGCTTTGGCGAGGACTGTCGCCCATTGCAAGCCAAAAGGGCGACATCAACGAGAGTTCACTGCCGTCGCACAGTCTATTGCAAACATGCCGCTGTTCAGTGCTAGAAAGTGGCCTTTCTCTAAAGGCTCTGACAAAACCAGCTTGGATGAGCTTGGATGGGCTCTAGGTGTTGAGGCTTTGAGGTTGTACGGTTGATGATATACATCATGCATTACCCGCACTAAGGAATTACCATAATTCCCATAGTCTAGGGTCATTAAGGTAATGCAGGCTTTGTATGGGAGTTTCCGAAAATGGGGGACCCTAATATAGTACCCTAAACAGTGGGATCCTTGTTATAAGGACCCCCAAATAAGGTACCCCTAATTTTCGGAAACTCCCATATCATCAACAGTAGGATTTGGGATTCAGGTATTTCAGAGCCAGAGTCCGCAAGGTGGGAAGACTGTGCTGGGGTTCGGGGTTTAGGGTTTAGGGTTCTGCTGTCACAAGTGTTGCCTCGAAAGGAGCTGTGTAGCTAGTCTTATTGGTGCTTCAGGAAGGGTGGAGGAAGGAGTGTAATGACTACTATCACGAGCTCTCTAGGGAGTATGACAGGGATTCAATCTCCCACTCCCCCTTAAGCACCAGTGAGTCATGCCTCAAGTCATCAAATCACAGGACTCTGGACCAGCCTCAGCACTCTACTTAAAGGATCATGGGACTTAGTAACTAGGGTTATAATTGGGGTAACTCTACTTCTGCCTGCTTATAACCCCTGTTGAGGTACTTGTAACCTTACTTACTAAGTCCCATGATCCTCCAAGTATCTCCCATGTTCGGGCTTCCTTGGACGGAAAGGCCATCTCTGAAACTAACCCCGCCCCTAAGCCTTCAACCCCTGCATGTTCCTCAAACCCCAAATCCGACCACGTCCGGGAACCACCAGGCCGTAAACCCCTAAATCCCTAATCCCCTAATGCCCTGAAGGCCGATCGCCCTAGAATGCCCAAAGAACCCTTACAAAAGCCCCCCCCCCCAGCCCTCAAAACCACGAGGATGGCAGGAAGCCCCCCAAAAAAGCAGCCAATGCCTCGGCTTCGGCATCCGAGGCTTCCGCGCCAAGGACTCCTTCCTGGTTTCGGGGCTTCGGGGCTCAGGGTTGCAATGAAGAGCCAAGGTCAGTATACCTAGTGACCTACCGTTGATGATGTAAATCCTGCATGACCGTAAGGACCCTAAACTATGGGAATTATGGTATATTCCTTATTGTGGGTTTTGCAGGATTTATATCATCAACAGTAGCTTATGTTGCTTGGTGCGGGACTCGGGTTTAGGGCTTAGGGCCATGATAGCTACACAAATTATGTGGTTGGCAATGGCGTCATGGAGATCGTCACGGCCGCTGGTACCATGTCTTTCGCGCCAAGAGATCGCCCAGTGGATCACTACCGTCCACACTATCCACACGATCACCCCTAACCCCGTCCCTAAACGCAAAACCCTTCTAAATCCGAAGCCTAGTACCATGACTCAGCTGCACTATCGCTGCGAAAAATTAGGGTTAGTAGGATCCTCAGCATAAGAACCACCAAAGAAGCTACCACCAATCGCACGACCCCCTGTACAAAACCTCACAGACGCCCGGGAAGCTTACAGAACCCTTGCAAAGCCCTTAACGCATCTATGCACACCCTGACCCCCGAGGAAGCCCAGTGTCCACACCGCAGCTGTCCGTGAACCAGCGGAGGAAGCCTGAGCTGCAGTTTCCGCTGTTGGGGGTCCGCGGATAAAGAAGGTCAAGAGTTCTGGGTTTTGGGTTTACGCTTTAGGGCTTAGGGTTCAGGGTTTGGGGCACCCAGAAATGTTGAAAAGAGCTGAAGTTGAAGGTTCACGACAAAGGTCCTCGACAATGTAAAACCCAAGCCATCAAACACCTCAACTTTATGCACGCAATCACAAACCCTTGAACTCTAAATCCCTGAACACGTGGCGGTCTGGCGCAGTGATTGCATGGCGACAAGTGAATAAACAATGAAGGCCTTGAGGGATTGGGTTCGGGACTTAGGGCTCAGTCTGCTGTTCCTGGACGCAACTACTAGACCCAAGAGTAACCTAGGAAGAAAAAGGGTGCCCTTTTTGGTTTAAAGGGGCTTATAAGGGGACCTGAACCCTAAAAAAAGGGAATAAGGGCCTACTCCAGGTCCTAGACTAAGGTTTTGCTTTTTCGTGCTTAAGAATATGCTCAACTAGTGTGTTTATGAAAGTACGACCTAAGTTTAGGCCCAGGGTGATACAGTGTCATGCGTGTGTGCAGGTTCGGCTTTAGTTTGAGCTTTAGGCTTCAGGGTGTCATTAAGGGTTCAGGGTTGAATTCGTGGGGTTCAGGCCGGATCAGGGTTTAGGGTTTAGGCGTTTAGGGTTGAGGGGTTTAGGGTTTAGGGGTTTAGGGGTTTAGGGGTTCAGGGTTTAGGGTTTAGGGTTTAGGGGTTGAGGGGTTTAGGGTTTAGGGTTTAGGGGTTTAGGGTCTAGGGGTTTAGGGTTTAGGGTTGAGGGACGGGTTCAGGGTTCAGGGTGGGCCCATTTCAGACACTGCAAGTTCGAGCGACACCGGCACGGAGTCCAACGGGTTGATGCGCCAATGCCGCCAGCTTTGCAGCGGAGATTGAAAGAACAATCTACCGAAAAGGGATTCGGCTCCGACGAGGACGACCAAGAGAACAAGGGCAACGTTGCACAAACGGTTGATGATATAAATCCTGCATTACCTTAAAGACCCTAAACTATGGGGATTATGGTATATTCCTTATTATGAGGATTTATATCATCAACCGAAGGACTCATGCCTTCTTCTTCGGCGATTCGACAATGATCGGGCGAATCCCAGCTCAAGCTCGCTTGATTCCGCGGCTGAGCCCATAGAATCGGCCGATTCACTTACTACTTGGAGGATCATGGGACTTAGTAAGTAAGGTTATAAGTACCTCAAGCGAAGTTATAAGTGGTTATAAGTTATAAGTAGAGTTACCCTAATTATAACCCAATTGCTAAGCCCCATCATCCTTTAAGCACCCGCCCCTCTGCTTGAGTCGCAAGCTTTGTCAGAGCCAGCTCCTTCACACTCGGGCTCAGGGCTTTGGGTTTGGGGGGTTGGGCATAGGGTTGCGCGTTCCAGCTCAGGGTTTACAGTTTAAAATTTAAGGCTTACTTGGAAGGCCAGGGGACTTAGTAAGTAGGTTATAAGTAGAGTTATAAGTACCGTAAGTGGAGTTACCCCAATTATAACCCTACTTATGAACGACTTACTAAGTCCCCTGCCCTTCCAAGTAGGGTTCGGAGTTTGGGATTGAAGGCGAGCCCGCGTTAACAGGTGCAAGACTTGAGAAAGCAGGCAGCAGTATAAAAACTAAACCTCCGGCCCTGAAACCCAAACCTCACAGTCCGAAACTCAAGCCCTCATAGAATTAGAACCCGAGCAGATCTCTCAAAGAGACTTTCAAGAAACCACAATCTGAACGCGTTTCCGAGCGGCGTGGGCGGTGCTCTGCAGAGATTGCCAGATCGCTGAAGAACTCGGCTTTCCTCAGGGCTTTAGGGTTTAAGGCTTAGGGCTCAGAGTTTAGGGATGTCAGGGTAACTTCAAACCCTAAACACTAAACCCCAAAACAAACCCTAAACCTTGGAAGCCGGCAACACTTGCCAAGTCTCAGGCTCTGACTCGCAACCGGCAATAGTCTGTCCATCAACCATACTTTAGGGCAACTTATGGTGTAGGATACAAGACCCGGATGGAAGTTGCTCTTCTTCTCAGGTTCCTAAAACTCTCTCATGAAGCTACTATAGAGGCCTTAATAAATAGAATGAGGTTGCGGGGCCCAGAATACCAGAATTTTAATCAGAACCCCCCAAAACAGTATTGGTAATAGTTTAGGTCGCTATATTACTAGTAGATGGGCCGGGTCGCAGCATGCAGCGACCCGCCGACTCGTGGACGTAGGCTTTGGTGAGGTGGTCGCTGGTCTCGTGCCTCTCTTGCCTTAGAACTTTAGGAGGTCAGGGCGACTGGAGGCTTTCAATATCCCTAAACCCTACCTTGGAGGTTATAGGTATAGGTTTAGGGTTTAGGGTTTAGGGTTTATAAGTAGGATAACTATGGTTATAACCTGTATAAGGGTACTTATGACCCCACTTAAAACGACCCATATGAACCTCCAAGTAAGGGAGCGTAGGGTCTAGGAAAAGGCCCGTGAGCCCATGAGCTCTACACCGGAAAGGGTGTAGGGCTTTGGGCTAAACCCTGATCCCGATCGAGGTGGAAGGCTTCCGGCGTTTCCCTAGCATTGCGCCGACCAAAACCCTCAACCCCAACCTGAAAGAGTCAACCCTGTCGTCTGCCAAACCTGAAATCCTGAGCCACAAGCCCTACGCCCTGAACATAGAGTCCTCTCTCCTTAACCCCAAAGCCCATTTCGGTGCAGACTTGCCTCTTTTTTGCTACTTGGACCCTGAAGGTCACTGAGTCCTCACTCTAAGTCGCAACTAAACCCCTAAAAACCTAAACCCGTGAGGTCGTACCTGAACCCCAAATGACATACTTTTTGCAGGACCCATATAAGGAACTCATAAAGAAAGAACCCTAAGAAGAAGAAGGCCTCACAAGGTCCAGGTAAACCCCAAACCCCCAATTAGGGCCACCGAGCCCTCATGCTAAACCTCAAACCCTACATAATTCTTGAAACCCTGAACCCTAAATCCTAACCCCCAAACTTGCCCTAAATGCTATGCTGACCCCAGCGGCACGGCGGCCAAGTAGTGCAAACATCCGCCCGTTGGGTCCACGGCGTTCAGCCATCGTTTCCTCGTGTTTCAGACTTCGGCTTCGAATAAGGAAGGAACTGGGGCTTAGGGTTCAGGGGTTAGGGTTTAGGGTTCTGGTTTAGGGTTCAGGGGTTAGGGTTTAGGGGTTTAGGGGTTTAGGGGTTTAGGGTTTAGGGGTTTAGGGGTTTAGGGGTTTAGGGGTTTAGGGGTTTAGGGGTTTAGGGGTTTAGGGTTTAGGGTTTGGGCTTGGGAAGGAACTGCTTGGAAGGGCAGGGGACTTAGTAAGGGATCTTAGAAAGGGCTCCTTAAAGGGATCTATAGGGTTCCTGTTAAAGGGATCTATGGGGTTTAGGGTTTAGGGTCTACTTGGAAGGGCGAACTGGGGCTTAGGGTTCAGGGGTTAGGGTTTAGGGTTCTGGTTTAGGGTTTAGGGTTTAGGGTTTAGGGGTTTAGGGGTTTAGGGGTTTAGGGTTTAGGGTTTAGGGTTTGGGCTTGGGAAGGAACTGCTTGGAAGGGCAGGGGACTTAGTAAGTCGTTCATAAGTAGGGTTATAATTGGGGCAACTCCATTTAGGGTACTTCTAACTCTACTTATACAGACGGACCTACTTGTCGGGTATCATGGGGAACTAAAGGTTAACCTTTTTGGATATATAGGGATTATAGAGGGACTATACTACCCATAGAAGGTCAACGGTTCCCTACTCTACTACTAGGAGGAAATGGTGCTTGGGGTTTAGGGATGACTATACCCTCCATAGAACCATAATAAAAACACATTGTAGTTTGAATATTCTCTTAGGTTTTTTATGAACAAAGGCAAAAAAAAACAACAATACCGAAGGAGACTCTAGATTAAGGTTTGGTTGATACCTGTCTCCTGTTCCTGTCAGGGTTTAGGGAAAAGGGACTAGACTCAGGTTGTGAGTTCGCAGCTTACCTAGTGTAGCCGTGGCCAAGGTACCTCTCAAAGGGAGAAAACCCTCAGCAGGGCTTAAGGGAAGCCCCACCGCAAACCCCTAAACCATATTATACCCCAAACCCCTTAACCCTAAACCCCAAACCCCTAAACCCTAACCCCTAACTAAACCCTAACCCCTAAACCCCTAACCTTTAAATCCCTGAACCCTAAAAACCCACAAGCCCGAGCCAGTCAGGAATCCCGAAAATAACCCCGGCGAATCCGGGAGCCACGCTGCAAACTGCATACCCCCCGAAAACCCAAAGGCCTAGGCAGCCCTAAACCCAGAAACTTGAAATCGAACCGTAAACCTAAAACCCCAAGGCCCCTCAACCCTACTTGGAGGATCATGGGACTTAGTAAGTAAGGTTATAAGTACTTCAAGCGGAGTTATAAGTAGTTATAAGTAGAGTTACCCTAATTATAACCCTAGTTACTAAGTCCCATGATCCTCTAAGTAAACCCTAAACCCTAACCTACATAACCTTCAGGGTCCAAGCAACCAAATAAATACTATTTGCTTAAGAACCCCCAAAAAATTAAAAATATATTCCTTATGGGGGTAATATAGGGATTATTATTTTTATCTTTTTGGTGTTTCTTAAGCAAATAGTAGAATAAATACCAGGGCTTCCGGTGCAAACAGGGTATCGTATCTGGGCCTACAGCCCTTCCGTCCAGGTACTGGGATCCTCGAAGTACGAACGCTGAACCCGAAACGCCAAACCCTACACGCTCAACCCTAAACCCCAAGCCCTAAACCCTACGTCCTACGAACAGAAACCCTAAACCCTCAACCCCAAACCCCAAAGCCTACGTCCTAGCAAAATGCTCAACACCCGCCAGCCAACCCTAAACCCCTAAACCCTGAACCCCAAACCCTAAACCCAAAGCCCTGAACCCCAAACCCCAGACCCTGAGCCCTAAACCCAGCAGTTCTGAGCCCAGAGTCAGGTCCAGAGCCAGTACGTACCTGGGCTTTGCTGCTCGAATTCCCTCCGAAGAATACCGGGTGAAAAAAGGGGCTGGGAAGAACTTTAGAGATGAATAGATAGAGCGATAGACAGGTCGATGGATGGAAGGAAGGCAGGATGGACGGGTGGATAGATAGATAGGTAGATAGATAGGGTGGTAGTCAGCGTTCAGGAAGGTTTCTTTGGTTGTCTAGGTTTCAACTCGCTCAGAGAAGGGTCTGGGGTTCTAGTTCCTGGTGTGGGGAGAGAGAGCGTTTATGGGAGTGAAGAATAATTATGGACCTTAGCGGCTTAGCCATGTGACATTGAAAGCATGCAGAACTCGGAAAAGCAGCGATTCCTGTACCCGGCATCCCGGAATCTGAGCCTAAGTCCGGATGCCGAACCCCCCCAAACTGATGTCTTCATCCAAAAGAATCGGAAGGACCTGAGGCAATGCTGGCCAGCAGCTGCTGTGCCACCGGTGACCTGTCTTCTAGGTCAGTAGTTCTACGCAACTTCTACATCCCCAACCCCGATCACCGAGGTTTGCGTCAGCTTCAGCTAGAGAGGGTCTGGGCCCGGAGCTTGAAAACTTGTAGAATCCCCAAGATCTCAAGTCATACCCACTTCGAGGACCAAGTGTCTGACCGAAACGAAACCTTGAACCCTAAATCCTAAACCTTGAACTACCAGTTCTTATCAGCATAAGTATCTGGATTTGAAGTTTCGCACCGCGATTCTGTTAATCTAGCCGGCGTCTTTAGGACTGGGTAGTAGCAGTGGACTGTACAAGTCCAAACAAGATACAAGGGGTTGACTACTTATCCACTGTTGCAGCAAGATCATAATATAAGATGCTGCGTACCCTGTGTGCTGGATACAGTTATGATCTTGCTTTGTGGGAATGCAGCATACTACGGCTGCACAGTATGGAGCACCTAAGCTCATCACTTGGTGGCTAGGAGTGCTAGAAAGAGCTATCCAACTTCCGAAGTCCTATCGCGATGCCGATGCCTATATCGGATAGCATGGTAACTTCATAAACAAACCCTATCTGGTTTAGGGTTTACGGTCTAGGGTTCCTCAAACTGCCAGCTGCAAACATAAGAAGGAGCAACTCCGAGTTGAAAGCGTGGCAACCAAGGCATCACAAACTACGGTTGATGATATAAATCCTGCATTACCCATAATAATTAAGGAATGTACCATAATTCCCATAGTTTAGGATCCTCAAGGTAATGCAGGATTTATATCATCAACCCTAAACCCTAAAAACCCTACAGATCCCTTAAAGGAACCCCTGAAAGGTACCCTTCTAGATCCCTCTAAAGGAACCGTACTTTCAAGTCCTCAGATCGCTCTAGCAGCAACGAAGGCCCCCCAACCCTAACCCTAAATCCTAAGCCCGAACCCCAAGGGTCCAGAGGACCCAATAATCAGGTACTCGGTTTTAGGATAGTAGTTATGTAGGTTAGGAGTTGGGGAAGTATATGATTATTAATTATTAGGTACTTGGACCCTTGGGGGAAGCTCTCGAGTGATCTGCTCAGCATCATTCCTAAGGGCTTCTGTGCACGATTATGTACACCACAGTATGCCGAAAAAACCATAGTATGCTAATTATTAACGCCCCTTCTACATTCTAAATAAAACTTAAGCCCTAAACCCAAAAGCCTAAACCCTAGAACCCTAAACCCTAAACCCTACTTGGAGGTTCATGAGTGGTTATAAGTAGGGTTATAAGTAGGATAACTATGGTTATAACTTATAAGCTATATGAGGGGTTTTATAAGCCCACATATATCTACCCATGAACCTCCAAGTAGACCCTAGACCCTATACCCTTATAGAATCAGTATAGATCCCTTTAAAGGGACCCTTAAAAGAACCTTATAACTACCCATGAACCTCCAAGTATGGTAGAATGGCTTAGGGGGGAGCAGCTTAGGGGGGAGCAGAGCCCTAAAGCCTAAAGCCCTAAACCCCTGAACCCTAAACCCCAAAAGCCTAACCCCTAACCCTAACTCCTAAATCACTAAACCCCTAAACCCCACAGTAGAATGGCTTAGGGGGAGCAGAGCCCGCCTGGAAGCTGCGCCCATGCCGGGCTCGGGCGCTGGCGCCTTGGCATCGCTGCGGATCTCCTGGTTTTAGGGCTTTTGGCGGGTTCAAGGGCGGTTTAGGGTCTAGGGTTTAGGGTTTAAGGTTTAGGGTTTAGGGTTTAAGGATTTAGTGGTTTAGGGTTTAGGGCTTAAGGGTTTAAGGGTTTAGGGGTTTAGGGTTTAAGGATTTAAGGGTTAAGGGTTTAAGGAGAAAGGATTTAGGGGGTTAAAGGGCGGTTTAGGGCTTAGGGTTTAGAGCTTCTGGGGCTTTCAGGGTTTACCAGGTTTTAGGGTTCAAGGGTTTCTAAGCAACGTTTCGTCTTGTGGGACAGGGTTTCGGGTTTCAGGTCAAAAGGTTGGTTGTTGGATCATGGGTTGGGTGGGACTTCGCAGGCTTCCAGCAGGTAAAGTACAGTGGTGCTGCTGCTGTACAGCTCAAAAAAGTTTATCAGTTGAAAGCTGTATATGCTCTTAGTGTATGGAGGATCTTTGGGCGGGTGGGCATTTTCTGATGGATAAACACACTGCTGGCCTAGTGTGTTCATAGTACAGCGACCCTTAAAATGCAACTATGCCAAAACCCCAAGCCCAACGCAGAACTAAGGCAAAACACTCAACCAGACCCCTGTACATACCAATATAACCCCCTCAAAAGGTATCCTTCTAAGCTCGACTGCGGGACTCTCTGGAGTCTGTATAAGGCTCCAAAAAGCACATAAGCTAAACTTAGAGTAGGGATATCTCATATAAACCCCTGAAATGAAGCCCACTAAGGTAGGGATATTCCCATAAAATGCTTATGCGTATGTCCTTTTTGGATCCCTAACTTTACGGAGTCTCATGATTCTCAGGCGTCCTGCTGTGGAAGGCTGATCTCGGTCGGCGGAAGCCCAGTTTGAGACGAGAACTGGTGCACTGCCTCCTGTTTGAAAGGTTGAAGGCTTTAGGGGCTTCGGGTTGAGGGTTTAGGGCTTAGGGTTTAGGGCTCAGGGATGTTTAGGATTCAAGCAGCCGACGCACGGAGTTCCATCTTTAAGAGGCCCTAACGGCGAGGCAAAACCGGTCTTTATGCAAGGGACCTTTAATCTTTAATCCGGCCTATATACCTTCATCTAACATTTTGACGCAAGGCCTTCTCTTTGAGGGCATCAAGCCATGGTGTGGCAGGGTTTTGAGTTTTGAGGCTAGTGTTTCGGTTCCAGGGTTTAGTAAGGTGCTGCAAAGACTGTTGGTCTCTTCCGAGCCTAGGAAATTTCGAAAGCTGTGATGTGGGTGTGATGTGTGGGTTGGGATCTAGGCCTCTAACCTTCACGTTCTTGCTCACAGGCCAGGGCCTTCAAGAAATTGCGGGTGCCCGTGCCGGCGACTGTGAGGTTATGTAGCTCCAATATGAGAGGTTCCCAAAATCAGGGGTACCTGATTGGGGTCCTTATCATAAGGATCCTACTATTTACGGTACTATTTTAGGGTCCCCTATTCTGGGAAACTCCCATATGGGACCGAGGATTTTGGACTCCTTGCCTCGGATTCCAGAGTATGGGTTAGGTCTTACAGCTTGGGGGCTTAGGGGTTTAGGGTTGGGGGTTTAAGGCTTAGGATCTAGGGTCTAGGCTTCAAGCTCCTGAAGCTTCTCTCCGAAACCCCGATACCCAAGCCCTTAACTAAATCCGAACCTTGCACCTTAAACCCTCAGCTGCAGATGTTGCTTGAAGAATAGGGGGAACTTGAGGTTAGTCCTGGTCGAACAGGCAACCCGCTCGGTGTTCAGGCAAGTATATGCTTGTCCACTAAAGCACTGCACCCAGAGGCTTAACCCGGCTACCTCCCTTCCAGTCCCTAGGACTTTGCGCTTTGTGCCAGGAGGGATCCCAGGTCCTTCGAAGCCCTACAGCCCTTAAACCCGAGCCCCTGACAGCTCAAAATTCACATCTCGAAGCCGAACCCCTAGACCGAACCGCTTCCCCTCCCCCTCTCGAAAAGAAGAAACCCTCCTTGAACTCAACCCTAAACCCTGAACCCAAAACTCCACGAGCTTGTAAGACTCTTGGTTCCTACTGTTCCGATTTAACCGGTCCCCCCCCCCCCCTTCCAAAAAAAAAGCACACCCCACCGCGGGCTCCTTGGAGCGTTCCGGCAAGGGCGCCGGCGCGATGCCCCGGAATCGCTGGGAAGGTTGGAGGCCCAGGTTTCCTCGGTCTAAGGTACTAGGGTTCTATTGTTGATGATATAAATCCTGCATGACCTTAAGGACCCTAAACTATGGGAATTATGGTATATTCCCTCTTATGGGTAATGCAGGATTTATATCATCAACCGTAGGGCTTGAAGGCTTGAGGGTTTGAGGGTTTCAGGTTAGGGTCTTAGGGTTTCAGGTTTAGGGTTTAGGGCTTTGGGTTTTGGGTTTAGGGTCTACCTGGACCTCAAATAGCCTACCTTTTCAAGGACTTGTATAAGGAAACCATAGTAGGGAACCCGAAAAAGGAGGTTACATAGGGTCCGCGTAGGGTTTCGGATTGAGGGTTCAGCGCTTAGGGATGAGAATTTCCGGGCGATGGGTGTTGCAGAGGAGCCCGAATACTTAATGTGGGTTTTGGGGCGCAGCATGGAACTGTACAATTATGATCAAGACCCCCAGGCACCGGCCCCTGTATTAGCGCTCAGTGGGTGAGGGCTACGGCTGAGAGTTTGCACGATCTTAAGGCTTACTCAAAGGATCATGGGACTTAGTAACTAGGGTTATAATTAGGGTAACTGTACTTATAGCTACTTATAACCCCATATATTAAGGTACTTATAACTTTACTTACTAAGTCTCATGATCCTCCAAGTAGGGCTGACGCTCTAAACTTTGGGTTCAGAGCTTAGGACCTCCGCTAGTCTATAATGCTGTTAAGCCTCACGGCTTCAGGTTCAGAGCTCGGGGCTTTAGGGCGTCGAGTTTAGGGCGTGTGGGTTTAGGTTGGGGGCCATTTTGGGTTGGGAAGAGCTTTCGGGTTTGCTCGGGCCTTAAAAATTGAGGCTGGCGGTACGCTGTCCTGTGTAGGCAAAGCAGACGGGGACCTCTATACCCGTACCCTTTGCTACGAATCTCTTACAGAAGGTACCAATCCCTAAACCCTACCTACACGCTAAAGGCCCTAAACCCTAAACCCTAAACCCCTAAACCCCTAAACCCTAAACCCCTAAACGCCTAAACCCCTAAACCCTAAACCCTAAACCCCTAAACCCTAAACCCTAAACCCCTAAACCCCTAAACCCTAAACCCCTAAACCCCTAAACCCTAAACCCTAAACGCCTAAACCCCTAAACCCTAAACCCTAAACCCCTAAACCCTAAACCCCAAACCCCAAAACCCCTAAACCCTAAACCCCTAAACCCTAAACCCCTAAACCCCTAAACCCCTAAACCCCTAAACCCTAAACCCTAAACCCCTAAACCCCAAACCCTAAACCCCTAAACCCCTAAACCCTAAACCCTAAACCCTAAACCCCAAAGGCCCTAAAGGCCATCAAGGCCCCAAAGTGCCCCAGAGCTTCGAGCGAAGTCCATCAGCCTCTCTCGGAAGCGCTCTGGCGCTGCAAAGCCGGGGTGCGAAACCTCGGGATATTATACGAGATACAAGAAGGGCTTATAGGCTTAAAGATTCATGGTTTCCGGGCTAGGATGAGGGTTTAGGGTTTAGGGTGGAGGGTTTAGGGATTCAGGATTGCTTTGAGGTTTAGCAATGGATTTTCTGGGTACTGTCATTACTGCATAGGGGTATCGTATAGAACGACCGACAATTTCGGGGTTTGAGCTTTACGTTTTAAGACTTTCACGCGCTTAGGGTGGAGGGTTGCGGATGTGCGGATTGACTGGGGTTGTCTTGTATTTTGATGAAGGTTTGAGGAGTTGGTGGTTCAGGGGTGGGGGTTCCCGAAAACCCTACTCTAATCTGCAGGCCCCTGTAAGTAGACTCTGGTAGACCCTTAACCCCCAAAGAATCCCAAAACCTCAAACAGCTTTAGGGATGAGGCTCTATCAAAGCAACGTTTTCGGGTTGTTTGGGGGTTTTGCGGTTTAGGGATCCAGGCTTTGCGTCGATGACAGTCTATGAGTTTTTAAGGGCTTCGGAGACTGGGGACCTCCCTGGCCCCCCCTGCATCCTAAGCCTTGATCAACCCTGCACCCTCAACCCTCAACCCTAAACCCCAAACCCTAAACCCTAACCCCTAAACCCCAAACTCTCAACCCTAAACCCTAAACAATCAAGTCTGAAGCTTCCAACGTAAATTCCTAAACCCGTCAGCCTAAACCCTCAAGCATGAAAGGCTGAACCCTGAATCCTAGCTCCGGAAACCAAAATCCTGAACCCTAGCTTTGCATCCTGAGCCCTTTGCCCTCTGTGATGCCCAAAGCCTTCAAACCTAAAGACCAAATCTTGCACCAACAACTCGGAAAATCCTGCAACCTGAACTGTATCTATCTCCTACACTACCACCACACCAACCCTAAACCCTAAACCTATAAAACCCTACTGCAAACCCCATTCTAACCCCCGTACCGAAGTTCTGGTAGTGCAGTCGCGAGGCGTCTCCACCGTCACGCTGCCGTCTCCAAGCCTGATCTACGTGGCTTTGGTCGGCGTAGGATTTAGGATTTGGGGCTTCGGGTTTCGGGGTTAGGATTTGGGGTTTGGGATTTGGGGTTCAGGGTTTAGGGCTGAGAATTTGGGGTTTAGGGTTTAGGAATTAGGATTGTGGGGTGTAGAGCAGCAGGTTTAGGAACGCGTACGGGTTTTACGGTTCTGGGCTCTAGGGCTTTAGATCCAAATTGGCGATTTAGGATTTGAGCCCTTTTTGGGTTGGGTCCAGGGCCCAGGGTTCAAGGCTTGTGGGTTCAGTGTTTGGAGTTGCTGGTAGGGATTACTGAAAAGTGGCTCACAGCGCTTTAGGCCGGTCTTCGTTTGGGGTTTAGGGGATCAGGGCGTAAAGTGTTGATATGGAAGGCTAGGTAAGGCGAAGGATTTTGGGCTCAGGGGTTTGCGGCTGTAGGCATTAGGGCATCGTGCTATCAGGTTTTTGTATGGTTTTACTTTACTTGAGTTTAAAGGGCAAGGCCCCTACACCCTAGTGACAAGGGAGAGGATTTCTAAGCTAGGACCCTAAACCGCCTAAGACCAGCAAGCGGGCTTGGGAGTCTGCACATGCCGAGACTCACCTTGCACGGCAGAGCCGATCCCGAATGTAGGCCCCCGATTAACAAACACCCTCTCATTACGGGCCTCAAAATTAGAATCATTTAGGATCCCTATTCTAATCCCGTCTAAGGGAGAGGGTGTGTAAAGTAATCATTGAGTATGGACCGGTGCAAGTCCTGAGTTCAGATAGCATGTCCCCCTCCACTGCGCAATGCAGTTTGCAGCACTCAAGTGTGATGTCTTCTTGAACCACCCGAAAACCCTAAACCCTACCTTGAAGCTGATTGCTTCGAAGCTGAAGATTTCGGTTCGTAGGCTTTAGGGTTTATGATAGGGAAGCCCCAAACCCTCAACCATGAGTACGATGTCCTTAAAAGTCCCTGCGCAAAAACACTCGCGAGTAAACACCGAAACCTTACTCTACCTGCTCAAGCCCCCCCATAACAAAGCGTGTAAAAACCTTAGAGCCCTGCAAAAAAAACCTGTAGCACCCTATTCTGACGACTTGCGGCATTTGTTATAAGACCATATTCTAGGCCCCTAAACCCTAAACCCTAAACCCTAAACCCTAAGCCCTAACCCTTGCGGCACCCTCTAAGGCCCCTAAAACCTTAAACCTGGACCTTAAACCCTGAACTCAAGCACCTAAGTCCCTAAGCCACTAAACCCCGAAGTCCCTGAACCCCTAAACCCCTAAGCCCCTAAGCCCCTAAACCTCTAAACCTCTAAACCCTAACACTCCCAAAGGGTCCAAGTACCAATTATAGCAGGTACTTAGTAGGTATTTGGGCCCCAAATTATATACTATACTATTACTTGGACCCGATCGGCCTCTAAGGCACCCTCTAAGGCCTTAACAATCCTATAAGGGGATCTATTAGGGTACGATAATATATGGGGCCTTCATAATCCTATAAGGGGATCTACCCTGTCAGGCACCCTCTAAGGCCGCGCCTGCTCGGCGGCTGCACGCAAGGACGCCAGGCCCAAGGGCAGCTCTCTCTCGGCCCTGGGGTCCTTGGATTGGTTCGAAGCTGCCCCCAGCCTGTACCCAGAGAGCCCTTAATCCCCTTAATTAAGGAATATGGCTTAAATTATATAGGGCTTCATATTATGATTTAAGCTATATTCCTTAATTAAGGGGTATTGGGCTCTCTGGGTAATAGTGACTATAAGGACTACATTAGGGCCCCATTATATTCCGATTCTACCACTATTACAGGGTGGGGGCCCCTTCTAATGGATTGGTTTTTTGCTTTTGGAAAACCCGAAACCCCGAAGGGGTAAGGAGTTGAGGGGTCCTTGGATTGGTTTATCGGTTTAGCTAGGGTTTAGGGCTTTGGGGGTTTCCGAATTTCCTCAACCCTAAGAAACCCCTGAAACACTAAACCCTAAAAGGTTTAGGAGTCTAGGGGTTTGGGCGTCATTGTGCTGAAATACCTAAACCTCGAAATCGCAAACTAGAAGACAATTGGCCCGAAAGCATCATCAGCGAAGAGTGTGGGGCTATGTGACAGATCCAGTGTATAGGATCGTAAAGTCACAGAATCAAGAGTCATAGAGTCCATGAGTCATGAATCATAAAGTCATAGAGTTGCAGTGACATAGCGTCATAGAGTCGTAGTGAGATAGAGTCAGTGTATAGGATCGTAAAGTCACAGAGTCAAGAGTCATAGAGTCCATGGGTCATGAGTCATAAAGTCATAGAGTTGTAGTGAGATAGAGTCACAGAGTCGTAGTGAGATAGAGTCAGTGTATAGGATCGTAAAGTCACAGAATCAAGAGTCATAGAGTCCATGGGTCATGAGTCATAAAGTCATAGAGTTGTAGTGAGATAGAGTCACGGAGTCGTGGAGTCATCTTTGTACCATACACTTGACTCGATGTAGTTCACTCTATGACCTGTGTGTGGGAACGCTTAATCAAGATCCGCCTAGCGTGAGGGCTCAGAGCCTGACTCAACAGGTCAAGTGGCAACTTGTCAGAGGGATTGGCAAATGCATAATATATGGATACTATACATATAAATATATATATATATATATATATATATTATACATATATATATATATATACACATCTATCTACTATCTATATCTGTCCATTTATATACATACTATCTATCTATCTATATATATATATATATATATAGATAGATAGTATAGATAGATAGATATATTAATAATATATTATATCTTCCATTCATATCTATATATATATATATATATATATATGTACATATATATATATATGTACATATACGGATGGAAATGTGCCTGGCCAAGAACTGGCCACTCGTCCTCGGCATTCCTGCCTCTCAAGTTATGAAGGGTGGAACGCCTCACATCGTCCTCATTGTACCAGCGGAAACACCAGCTGCAGAAAATGGCGTTATTGCAAGAAGCTTCACTGACTTCACAATAATAGAGCTGCGAATGAGGACAGAGTCACAGGTGACTGACTGGTCTCTGATCAGCCATGGCACATCTTAAAATCTTCCTGAAGACTTGGCTTTTTTACACACACGCACATTCTTCTCGTGGCGGCGTCGTTGCTTGCTTGCTCTTTCGCAAGACAGCGTCGAAGCAAGCAAGCAACGTCCCAAAGACCGGCATCGGAGAGGCGGCCTGAGGAGGTGCCGGGAGAGGTCATCCCAGGGATTACGGTGGTCCGGAGCCTCGTGAAAATGGCTGATTGTAGTTGCAAAGGTTCGTCGGGAGCCCCGAGCCTCCATAGCACGAATTATACCAAGCCAGGGTATAGGGGTATAGTATCATGGAAGAAGAAACATAGCGGCAGCTGACAAACATCCCCAAACGGAAGCCGCAACACTGGTCTCTGAAAGGAGTCGGGAATTAGGGTTTCGCTCTTCATCTCAAACCACAAAAGGCCAGCGTATGTTACTTAGCCGATTCAACAGACTCCACGGGAACGCCAGGGGCTTATGGGTCCTTAGGCCTAGTAGTAGGACTAATGCAGGGATCATGGTGGTCCAGAGCCTCCTCCAGAAAGATTGATTCTAGCTGCAGACATTCATCGAGAGCCCCAGGCTTCGGTGACACCCTGTGTATCAACCCAAGGTATACTATCTCAGAAGAAGAAACCCGGCGGCATCTGGCAAACATTCCCAAGCGGCAGTCACAACACGGGGCTCTCAAAGGATGATTGGGGATTTAAGATCTATCCTATACCACAAACGGGTCCACCTCGCTGAGCTGCTGCGCGATCCGTGGCGCCGGGATTCCAGCAGCGAAAGGCAGTGCAGTCATTAGGGATTTGGAAAGACACCGTTCCGAAGTGAAACACCTTACTTCACTAGGAAACCCGCCAGATGCCGCAAAGTATTTAACGTGCCACGCAATCGAGGAGCTCCTGCGTCTCGATGAGCCTTTGTCTGCTCACTGGACGTCGCGGCCAGGAGGAGAACACCGAGGCATTGGGAATCACTACGCTTCCGCCGCACCAATGTACCAATGCGAGCACTTGAAGTTGCCGTTGACGGTTCGCCCATCATAGTTCTCGCTCGGCAGCCTTCGATTGTCAATCGGCCTGGGACGCCCACGGTACCTCACAACTTCATGGTGCACTCCTGCTCCGTTGACGGATCCATGTGCTTCATAAATGCACGCTTCGTGCAATGCGTTGTCTCTTTAGCACACAAACACACACACACACATACACACATACAACTGGTTCGTGGGAGTTCGCAAGATCAAGTGAGACCACAGAAGCCTTCGATTTGACTTCGATCTATGCAGAACAACAGACCTTACACTGCATCACGAAGCATTTCGGAGTCGGGTTGGGGGTGGAGAGCCAGCGCGGGAGGAACCTGGACCTAGACCGGATTACTCTTCCCAGGCGACCCTCCCCGGCCTTCGTCGTCAGCATCGGAGAGGTGGCCTGGTGAGGTGCTGGGAGAGGTCATACACGAGTTACGGCGGTCCGGAGCCTTGTGAAAATGGCTGGTTGTAGTTGCAAAGGTTCATCGGGAGCCCCGAGCCTCCATAGCACGCACTGTACCAACCCAGGGTATAGTATCATGGAAGAAGAAACATAGCGGCAGCTGACAAACATCCCCAAACGGAAGTCGCAACACTGGTCTCTGAAAGGAGTCGGGAATTAGGGTTTCGCTCTTCATCTCAAACCACAACAGGCCAGCGTATGTTACTTAGCCGATTCAACAGACTCCAGGGGAACGCCAGGGGCTTATGGGTCCTTAGGCCTAGTAGTAGGACTAATGCAGGGATCATGGTGGTCCAGAGCCTCCTCCAGAAAGATTGATTCTAGCTGCAGACATTCATCGAGAGCCCCAGGCTTCGGTGACACCCTGTGTATCAACCCAAGGTATACTATCTCAGAAGAAGAAACCCGGCGGCATCTGGCAAACATTCCCAAGCGGCAGTCACAACACGGGTCTCTCAAAGGATGATTGGGGATTTAAGATCTATCCTATACCACAAACGGGTCCACCTCGCTGAGCTGCTGCGCGATCCGTGGCGCCGGGATTCCAGCAGCGAAAGGCAGTGCAGTCATTAGGGATTTGGTAAAAACACCGTTCCGAAGTGAAACACCCTACTTCACTAGGAAACCCGCCAGATGCCGCAAAGTATGTAACGCGCCAAGCAATCGAGGAGCTCCCGCGTCTCGACGGTGGCCAATCCCTGTGGAGACTTGCAGACGGTGCCACCCCTTGTGCTAGCGGCGCTCCACAGGAACCGTCATCCGCGCCATCGCGGCTGTCATCATGCTGATACCACCAGAGCAGGTCCAAGCCTCCAAGCGGCCACATTCTGTGGCGAGGCAGCCAAGATGACTGCAGGGCAGAACGTCAAGAGCCAGCTTCTCGTTTGGCCAGCACGACGGACTCGCGGGTTGGACAAGCCGCGCATTTGGAGTTCCGAGCCTGCAGGTCATCGGCCAGGCAGCGGCGCGTTGCGCCGTCGCAAGACAGCGTACGCGCCGTACAGGCGCATGAATATATGTCTATCTATCTATCTATGTATATATCTATTATCTATCTATCTATCTATCTATCTATATATGGATAGATAGAAAGATAGATATATATATATATATATATATATATATGTGCGTATATTATCGATATATGCATCTGCCAATCCCTCTGAAGGGTTGACAATTGCACCTCGCAGAGATGCAAGTTCCTGCAATCGACCACGCCACTCCCTGTGGAGAGTTGCACGGCGGAAAGGATACAAGTAGTAGTTTGCACACACGTTTCAACCCTGGACCACGCCAATCCATGCAGAGGGTTACACGCAGCGCCCGAAGACCATGCAACAGTACCTGCACACCTTCCGATTAGAACATTCGAGGAAGCTAATCCCTCTCAATGAAGGATTGCGCGGGGCACCGCAAAATGTGTAACTTTACCTTGCATTCGACCACTCGACCACGCCAATCCCTCTGAGGGGTTGCAAAATTCATTTCAATGCTCATCAAAAATTGCAACTTTACCTCGCGTTCGAACACTCCACCACGCCAATCCCTGTGAAGGGTTGCAAAATTCATCTCAATGCTCATCAAAAATTGCAACTTTACCTCGCGTTCAACCACTCGACCACGCCAATCCCTGTGAGGGGTTGCAAAATTCATCTCACTGCTCATCAAAAATTGCAACTTTACCTCGCGTTCGAACACTCCACCACGCCAATCCTTGTGAAGGGTTGCAAAATTCATTTCAATGCTCATCAAAAAATGCAACTTTACCTCGCGTTCGAACACTCCACCACGCCAATCCTTGTGAAGGGTTGCAAAATTCATTTCAATGCAAATCAAAAAATGCAACTTTACCTCGCGTTCGAACACCCGACCACGCCAATCCCTGTGAAGGGTTGCAAAATGCAAATCCCTGTGAAGGGTTGCAAAAAAAATTGAACTGCACCCAAACCCTGTGAAGGGTTGCGCGGCGCCCGCAAGAAGTGTAACTTTACCTCGCGTTTGAACGCCCGAGGAGGCGAATCCCTGTGAAGGGTTGCGCGGCGCCCGCAAGAAGTGTAACTTTACCTCGCGTTTGAACGCCCGAGGCAGCGAATCCCTGTGAAGGGTTCACCCGGCGCCTAAAATGTGTAACTTTACCTCGCGTTTGAACGCCCGAGAGTTCCAATCCCTGTGAAGGGTTGCGCCGGGCGCCTAAAATGTGTAACTTTACCTCGCGTTTGAACGCCCGAGGCAGCGAATCCCTGTGAAGGGTTGCGCGGGAACCGCAAAATGTGTAACTTTACCTCGCGTTTGAACGCCCGAGGAGGCGAATCCCTGTGAAGGGTTGCGCGGGCACCGCAAAATGTGTAACTTTACCTCGCGTTTGAACGCCCGAGGAGGCGAATCCCTGTGAAGGGTTGCATTCCCGATGGACCCCGACGGTGCCACCCCCGCCTTTAAAAGAAATATTAAGATACCGAGATGTAGAGAGTATGTAGAGAGTAAGTCATAAGTCATAGTAAGTCATAGATGCATAGAGAGTCAGTCATAAGTAAGTAATCATAAGTATAATCATAAGTAATAAGTAAGTAAGTAGAGTCAGTAAGTAAGTCAGTAAGTAGTAAGTATAGTAAGTATAGCAAGTATAAGTAAGCAAGTCAAGTAAGTAAGTAAGTAAGTATAGAGATAGCATAACATAGAGTCCAGTGTCAAGTGTCAAGTAAGTTAGTAAGTAGATTGAAGTAAGTAAGTAAGTAAGTAAGTAAGTAAGTCGTAAGCATAACAAAGAGTCAAGTATCAAGTGTAGAGTCAAGTATCATAGAGTCAAGTGTCAAGTGTAGAGAGTCAGTCATAGGGGTCAAGTAAGTAAGTAAGTATCAAGTGTAGAGTCAAGTATCAAGTGTAGAGTGTAGAGTAAAGTGTGGAGTCAAGTAAGTTGATTCTATGTCTGTCATCTATGTACTCAGCTGCGGCGTTCCACACGGAAGAACCCTTCGCGATGCTTTCGGGAAAACTCCTTGAAGCCGCAGATCATAAAACCTTAAGTTCGTGAACCCAGGAGCATCTTGCAAGCGTGCGCGGACGGCACAAAGCGCCACCCAGTCAGTGCCTGCGAAAACAACAAATATGAGTATAGGAGGGTGCACTGCGGCTTTTTGCAGAACCCCCACCCATCGCGCATGTACTGTCACACACCTAAAACCCTAAACCCTAAAAACCCTACAACTCTAAACCCTAAACCCTAAAAACGCTAAACCCCAAAACCCTAAAAGCCCTAAAACTCTGAAAAAACAAAAACCCTAAACCCTAGAAACCCCAAAAAACCCCAAATGGGCCGGGCCTCCTCCGACGGTGTCCACCTCGACCAGATCAAGGCTATACTTCGGTGAGCGCGCCATGTCGGCAAGGAACCTCGGAGCGGGTGTAGGGTATGGGGCTTGAGTCGGCTTGAAGGTTTAGGGGTTCAGAGTTTAGGGTTTAGGGGTTTAGGGTTTAGGGTTTAAGGGTTTAGGCGCCTTAATAATTAGAATAGGGTTTTGGGGCCCATTGTACTATAATTGTAACAAGGAACCCCCACCATAGTATTGGTAACTATTCAGGCCCCCATAGTAGGGTATAGGGCTTGAGGGTTTAGGGGTTCAGAGTTTAGGGTTTAGGGGTTTAGGGTTTAAGGGTTTAGAGCTTGGGCTTTGGTAGGGTTAGGGAACCTCGGAGTGTAGTGTCTACTTGGAGGTTCATAGGTAGCTATAAGGGTTCCTTTAATGGTCCCTTTAAAAGGATCTATAGGGAATCTACAAGGGCGTAGGGTTTAGGGTCTAGTTGGAGGTTCATGGGTACTTATAAGTGGGGTTTTAAGTCCCCTAATGGAGGTTATAACCATAGTTGTCCCACTTATAACCTTACTTGTAACTAACCATGAACCTCCAAGTAGGGTTTATGGGGGTAAGAGGGCCTTTAGGCGCATTTAGGGTTTGGGGTGTAGGTAGCGTTTAAGGTTTAGGGTGCAGGTAGGGTTTGGGTTTAGGTGGGTCGGGCCTAGGGTCTAGGGGTTTGGGGGGAGTAGGATCCTTTAAGGGATGTCGGCAAGGAACCTCAGAGAGGGTTTCGGTTTAGGCTTTTGTAGGGTTTAGGGTTTAGGGGTAAGGAGTTTTGGAGTGGTTTAGGGTTTAGGCTTTCAGGGTTAAGGGTTTAGTGGTTTAGGGGTTTAGGGCTTGAGAGGTTTAGGGGTTTGGGGTTTGGAGGTTTAGGGTTTAGGGGTTTAGGGGTCGGAAGGATCCTTTAAGAGATGTACTTGGGTAGGAGGTGGGGGGAGCTCAGGGTTATGTGACAAGGTTTAATGTTTAGGCGATCGGGTTGAGGGATTCGTTTAGAGTGCCAAGCGCAGCCGACTGTTCTACTTTACATCTGAAGTCCCTTCTATGCTGGTTTGGGGCGGGGTGGTCTAGGTAGTGGTTGGGGTAAGTAATCGCGTGCGGTGAAACCAGTTCATACCAGCAGCGGGCGGGGTGTCCTCTATGTCTTGATTTGGTGAAGTTTATTCGGTCTTTGTATCCGGGGGAGAAAACTATGTGTTGCGTGGGCAGGTTTGGCGGAGTAGTCGTGGCTTGTATCAGCAACTTAGTGTTGTGAGAGTATTGTTTGGGAAGGTACTGGGCGTTTTCCTGCTGTTTGCCAAACGGTTTTTATTTAAGATCCTGGAGTAGCAGGATGAAATCTATATTTATGGCTCTCCTAAGCTACCGAAAGCATCATCCATCTATGGTTCGGAAACAGTGCTTTTCTAGGGTGAGGGTCCACCAAAGTCTAACTGACCCTGGTGATGCTGAGAACTTGTCTTCAGCATATTAAGACTCCCATCCAGCGACAATCAGGCCACAGAAACATGCTCTCACGTCGCCCTCCAGCATAGTCAATTCCTTGCTTCTTGCAGAAGAGATGCCTTCTTCCAAATAACTCCTCGTGCATTTCAGCACCCTGCCCCGCAAAAGTGAGCGAGCACGCCGCATCCCTTTGATAGCGTCTGCATCCAACCTTGCTTCGAGCGAGCCATTCGACCACTCTGTGAGGAGCAGTCTCGCCGCACATCGAACATGCACTGCTCCCCATAGTGATGCGACGTTTCGCCAGCACCACGCGATACACCTGGTAGCGTAAGCGCCACATGTCCCTCTTTGATCAAACAGCAATCTCCATCGCCTACATTTTTGTAAGCCATACTGAGCACACTCTTGGAATAGGAGTGTAGATAATCAGACACTCGCTCATCACAAGTGGCCAAGATAGGCTCCGGCTGCTTGCGCAGCCAATCGACAGCTCTTAACAGGTTCAGGGATTAGGGTTCAGGGTTCAGGGTTTAGGTTGAAGCAACCGGGCTTAGGGTGCAGGACTTACGCAACGACTTTGGATTTTAGGGTTCAGAGTTTAGGCAACCGGGATTTAGGGTTGAGGGTTCCGGGTGCAAGGAATCTCAGATCCTTACTTCGACAGAGGACTGTTTTAGGGTTCCTGTCAGGGTAGGTATCCCCAAGGACTCCACAAGCTGTGATACTTATGCCCAACAGACCTACCACTTGTCTCCGGGTCCTGAAATCTGAAAGTGAGGCCAGCAAGAAAGCTCGAATCGCAGCATGTTTCCAGACATTGGGCAAGCATATGATGTGGGTCACGGGTCTCTATGGGGCCCGGAAAGAATTCTCAAATGACTGCCTGATTGCAGCAAGTGGCACCATGTTTCGGGGTGATTTGTTTGTATACTTTCCATCGATAGCAAGGGTGTCTGCGCAACCCCCTAAACCCTAAACCCTAAACCCTAAACCCTAAACCCTAAACCCTAAAACCCTAAACCCTAAACCCTAAACCCTAAACCCTAAACCCTAAAACCCTAAACCCTAAACCCTAAACCGTTCAAGCTGTAAAAGCCATTCAGCCCCGGACTCTGAGACCCTAATAACCCGGTTTAGTGTTTAGGGGTTTAGGGTTTAGGGTTTAGGGTTTAGGGTTTAGGGTTTAGGGGTTTAGGATTTAGGGTTTAGGGTTTAGGGTTTAGGGTTTAGTGTTTAGGGTTTGTGGGCTATGGGCCTAAACCTTGGAATTACTTTAAAAGTCTTTCTAAGCCGTGAACCGTACGTAGACCCTGGAGCAGGCCATGCGAATTCTTTGATGATTGATGAGCGTCGGATCGGGATAATGACGAAATCTTTGTAATGGCTCGGGCCCAAGAGTCTCGCGGTTCAGGGGTTTAGGGTTTAGTGGATGGCTCGGGGCCAAGAGTCAGAGCTAGGGGGCTGCATGAAGGTCCCTTGTCTGAAACTCTCCTGCAGCTTGGATACTGAGGGGAGCCGAACTGGAGCATGTGGTCCGCAACGACGCATCCAGAGGTGAACAGACCCATGTCCTTTCCAGCCGCAGGAATGCGAGGTTCATGCATCGGCTGAGGTATGGGGGTTCAAGTAGTGGGATTGAAGCATAGATCAGGAATCCAGCTCAAAGCTTCAACGGGAAAGACCTACATACATAGACCGAACCCTTAAACCTAAATCCCAGTGCTCAGCTTGTCTTACTCTTTTGGGGAGCGTAGCACATGCTACGGAGTCGACGTCGAGAAGTTTTCGCCCCTTTCACTTCAGCTCTCTCCCCCGTGATCAAGGCCTGCTTGCCGAAGCCCTCAAGCAGAAGCTCTTACAAACCCTAAACCTGAACAGCGAGTTCTGAAACCGAACACCCGAAAGACCTGAACTCTTGGCATTAGACCCACAGAGTTGAACAATAATGGCTTCGGGTCTGGTGGTTTTCGGGTGAGCTATGAGCGAGCTTCTTTCGGGTTAGCGGCTTGCCAGGCTCATGGAAGGGGACCGCTCATACGTCTCCGTGACTACAAGCCTGCGGCTTAGGGCTTAGGGCCCCAAAAATCTGTCCTCGACCCGCCGAAGCTCGCAGAGATACTGGCCCTCGCGGTTGCCGCGGAGAACAAGAACCTCTTGTGCAGTGAGGCTGTCCTCTCAAAGATTTCAGACTCTTGTGCAGTGAAGCTGGAGGTTAGGGCTAGAACTCTAAACCCTAAACCCTAATCTTGCACAACATGCAGAAATCATCTTGCTAGCCGATCAGATCCAACCTGCGAGCCTAAACCCTCGACCAAAGCACGAAACCAAACCAACAAAAAATCAACAAACTGCCGCAAAAGAATCTGGCAACAACTTGGAACAGACATCCCCTGGAATCTCTCGCGTTCAGCGCCGGAGGCATGTGTGAATCGTGTAGAGGCCCTTCCAAGAATTTATACAGGTTTACATGGGCTTTTGCCAAGGTTTTCTTTCGCGCATATAAGTGCCTCAACAGTTAACTGAATATTTTTGGGTGTATTATAGTATAGTTATCTATATGGGTAGTTGTCAAAATTAGGGTCCCTTTTTGGGTACCCTAAATATTAGGTGCCGTATTAAATCAAGGACCCAAAAAGGGACCCCAATTTTGACAACCACCCATATGGAGTAGAAGGGGATGCAGGGGGAGGATCCTGCTCGGCTTTAGGGTTTAGGGTTTAGGGTTTAGGGGTCCCTTACTTAGACCCTAGAATGTACTACGGTTGATGATATAAATCCTGCATTACCCACATAAGGAATACACCATAATTCCCATAGTTTAGGGTCCTTAAGGTAATGCAGGATTTATATCAGCAACCGTGGCTCTTTTCTTCGGAAAACCTGTTTCAAGGTTAAGGTGACTTATTCAGGGACTAGTAACGAAGGTAACCTAATAAAGGTGGCCAAGAAGGTACTAATTACAGTCCAGTCCAGGGTCTAGCCTAGGCACTGTCTGATGCTCCCACCTGAAAACGGTGGTTTGAAGTGCAGGGATACCCAGACAGACAAGTCGACACAAACCCTACGTCATGCTCGGGTCTCTGAACTCAGACCGTTCGAGCCAAAACACTCGAACGCATGTCCTAAGAAAGACTTTATGCATCAACAGAACTGAACAAGACGTAGACTCGTCAGGGTCCGGACAAGCAGACGTCCTCACAATACAACTGTTTGCACGCCCAAAAGCACCTCAGAACCCGAAACCAGTCCCTGCTCCGTTGTTTTAGCCCAAAAAAACCGAAACCTGCTGTACTGAAGACCCCATAGAGACCCTAGACACAAACGGCTCTGCGGGAATCTCAAACTCTACTTAAAGCCTGTGATAACTGTAGTAAAAGCTTTACACTCCTATGACAACATTTCATCCGAAGATGTTGTCCGAGGTGCATCGACGGAGCTCGGCCCTCTCGCTTCCAGCAGCTGTGGCAAGCAGTCAGAAGACTCGCCAAGCCTGGGTTTCATAATCGTCGCCAGGCTAGTAGCAGCTATTTTGCATAAATGGCAAAAACTAAGAATAAGGACTAAAAAGAAAAAGATGAAAAGTACTGGCAGCAGCAATCAGCGCAAAGCCTAACAGTAAGAATGGGACTAATACACATGGCGACACGATTCGGGCTCCGTCTAGGATTTAACGAAAGGGACTTAGATCCCAAAGCCTTGCGGCCAGACCCTTAAACCCTCATGCAAACCTTAAAACAATCCCCCTGAAACCCTGGCACCCTGGACCCGAAACCCGGACCCCTTCATCGTACGATTGGTGGTCTGAACCTGTATTAGAAACATCAAAACAGGCCAAACATCTGAAACCCAATTCAAACCCCATAAAAAACCCTGTTTTGCTTTTAAGGCCGCTGTAGTACCCACAGCCCGGGCGCAGGAGCTGAAGGGAGCTGGAGAGACCCGCATAGTGGGCAATACAGCGCGAAACCTTTGTCGAACGTTCGAGTTTCTGGGAGTTTAGGGCCTGCTGTCGTTTTTTGGCTTTGGCAAAGGGGCTTCAGTGACTGGAATAGGGTTATTTGGCATACACAACAACAAATGTTGTCAGATAAGGACGCTATGGAATACGCATTCAGGACCCCCAAGTATTTGTCGAGAATTCGCGGTTATAGGGGCCTTCATAATTAGACTAGGGTCTTGGGGCCCATTATACTATAGTTACAATAAGGAACCTCCAAAATAGTGTAGGTAATTATTCAGGCCCGCAGGTACTTGTCGAAAGCTCGCAGTTCAGCAATGAAGCCGCTGCTGGACTGGATGTGATGGGGGCTTACGATTCGGGGTTAGGGGGTTGCGGTTTGAGCAATGAGTGCTTGCGGTTGATGATATAAATCCTGCATTACCTTAAGGACCCTAAACTGATGGAATTATGGTACATTCCTTATTGTGGGTAATGCAGGATTTATATCATCAACCGTTGTTACGGACTGTAAGTCAAACGAAATTATTAGGGTCTACTGGGTTGTAGTTTTGGGGCTCTGAAAAGTATTTATGAATAGGTACCTCTATAGGAACCATAAGGGAAATTAAAAAGTTTCCCGAATTGCCACCTAGTTTAGGACTTGGTGGCAAAAGTCCCCCGAGTTAGTGCTCTGAATCTGTGGTTCTGCCAGCTCCACATGCAGTTCAAACGGACTCCAGTTGCCCCACATGAACCCTACTGGGGGGTGGGGGGGGGTATGTATGTACGTACGTACCTCGGGGTTCCTTATGCAGTTAGGATATCCCCTGGCTCTCTCGAATATACCCCCGAAAATTATTTCGATGACGCGGGCCGCGGTGTGACACCCTGAAGACGAAACACCCCAGAGTTCGGCCCCTCTGAGCTTCGGGCTGACACCCACCGAAAACTGCAAACCCACGATCATCCCCACGAACCGTAGACCCTCAACCCAGCTTCGGCTTTGGGGCTTCAGAGAGGCTTTTGGGTTTAGGGCTCAGAGGTTTAGGGGTTTGGATGGTCCATCCCCCTACCAAAACCCTGAACCCTGTCGATGGACCGCCATGTAGACTGGGTCGGACTCGATGGACACAACTCTCCCGCCGTACTCCTGACGTGGGTTCAGGGTTTAGGGTTTAGGGTTGTTCAAAGGCGCTTATATAGGGGTTGTAGGTTCTGATAGAGGGGCCGAAATGGCTGGAAGAAGATGCCTGCGTGCATTCCAGAGGAATTATGTAGGAGACTGCTCGGGAATACTATTGAGAATCACTGCGACCTCTATATGAGCGCTTGTTGTTGCAAGCCGGCGAGCTCGTAATCTTTATTTGCACCCACAACTCCGAAACTCGAAGCCCCAAGACTAAACCTAAGCCTAAAGCCCAAACACAAAAAACGGACCCCACCTACGGAACTCTGTAACCATTAGACCCCACCCCGCAAGCCCTACCTGGACCCCAAACTTGGGCCACCATTTTACCTACTTTGGGAGGGGTTGTAGACCTAAATCGCAAACCCGAAGCCTAAACCCTAAACCCTAAACCCTAAACCCCAGTTCGATTCTCGGCTTCCGCTCCTGAACCCGGGCGGCCAGGTGTGCAGCCCAGGCCCCACAGCCACCACCTGCATCGGGCCCAGTGGTTTATTTTTTTTTTTTGGTTTAGGGGTTTAGGGTTCAGGGTTTAAAGGTTAGGACATCAGATGCTTGACTTAGGGTTTAGGATGAATTGCGAGGCTTAGGGTGCTTTCGGCATATTCTGGGCCTTCTGGCGGAGTTGCATAAGAATGCAGAACACAGAATACATTCCTAGGATGATACTCCAGGGAAGTCTGAAGATTCGGATTTTGGGCTTGATGGTTCAAGGTTTCCGGCGTCTTATTCGGCGTTGCTTTCTCCTGTTCGGCCGTCTGCAAACCCTGGACACCGAAAGGGCCTCCAGCACATCTGCACAGACCGGGTTGAGGGCTTAGGGTTCATGATACTGTTGGGTGACATCCTGCTTCCTGGGTTATATGAGGCCTTCATAATTAAGCCCTAAACCCCCTCCACCCTTGCTTGGTTTTCATCATCCGCCTATCTCCACCACCAGCTGCGGAAGGCGGGCAGTGAACCTGTCAGGGTGCCGTACTTGACCCTCATGTAGCTCCTGAACTCTACAGGATCATAGTTGACGGTATAGAGCAACGTAGACCCCTGAAGAGTAATATCTCTTCCCTTCACGAGGATATTAGAAAAGGGACTCAAATTTTTTAGGGCGTCGCCATTAGGGGCCTGGATTGGGATATAGAACCTAGGCCCTCAACCCCACAAGTGCCTTGCCCTCAACAGCAAAGTTCAAAGGAACAACCCCTGGGTCATCCCTAAACCCTCAACCCTAAAGTCCTACGTCCCAAGCCTCACATCCGAGATGCCAAACCCGAAGCCCTAAATCCGAGCACGGATTGAGGTTTAGGGTTAGGGTTTAGGAGTTAGGGTTTAGGGTTTAGGATTTAGGGTTTCAGGTTTAGGGTTTGGGGTTTGGGGATGGTGGAGCGGGGCGAGGGCTTGTTGCCGGAAAGTGCGGGCCATGACTATGGAGAACTGAAGAGTTCGACGGGTTTGGAAAGAGTTGAAATGCCAGACCCGAAACCCGACACTCAAAACCCAAACCCTAAAACCCCAAACCCTTATCTGAGGATCAAGCCGGAACGGAAAGCCCCGGCACCCCATTTTAGGGGCCTATAGTGTGCCTTTATTACACCAAGGCACTCGTCCAGGATCGCCGCTCGCGGACCAAGAAACGCGTTGAGGTGGCGACAGCTTGAAGCAAAGCTCTCCACCTAAGGCATGGGGCTTCGTGGTTGAGGTGTTAAAGATTAAGAGGTTTAGGGCTTAGGGTTTAGTAGGTGTAGTTTGTCGGGTTGGGATCTTCTGTTTGGGGTCTCAGCTAGCGCTTCTAGGGTTCCGGGATTATGGGCTTAGGATCGCCAAAGCCTTCACGTGGTGCGTAGCAGTCTAGTAGATACGTCTGGAGATGATATCATAACAAGAACCATGCTATCAAGGTAAGGACAAGATAAAGACTCATATTATTCAGAATCCACAAACCCAAACGCCAGAAAGAACAGCTGTGAACCTTAAACACTGGAATCCTGAACAGCCACGCGCAAGATCATTGGTCGCCCTCCTGAACCTAGGTGAATGAAAGAAGGCAGAACAACCATCTAGGCTCAAAGCTAGGAGACTATCCAGCAGATTGCATCACAAGGAAGCACTGGTACACGTCTCCGTCGCCACAACCAATACTATTTTGGGGGCTCCGTACTATAATGATAGTATAGTATATCCCAAAACCCTAGTCTAATCATTAAGGCGCCTATATTATGAGACGTATGGAGAAAGACACACACCAACAGCTCAGCCCTCGGCCTTCTGCCCAACCACTGCAAACATCCCAAGAACCCTTCATGTAGGAACCGGAATAAGATACCTTGACCTTTTGTTAGGGTTCCTTATATGACTCTTACTACTTTGGGGTTTTGGGCCCACGGTTTCTTAATCAGGTTCCTACATCAGAAATCAAATGACGAGCAAAAAACCCTGCAATGCCAAGACGCTAGAAACACGAAAGAAGATCATAATGAATCCCACATCAAAGCGTGTCCCTAAAACAAGCAGGGCCTAGGCAGCAACCCTAAAACGAAACCCCTCAAAAACCCTCAACCCAAAACACCCTGAACCCTGAACTCCTAAACCCTACAACCCCTCAACCCTCAAAACCCTCAAACCGAAAACACCCAAACCCTGAACTCCTAAACCTTGCAACCCCTACCTAAACCCTCAAAAACCCTCCAAAAACCTCTGAAGACCCACACAAAGCCCATCGCCGAAGCCCTCTGCGGCCATGCCCGCCGCGCCGAGGCTTAGGGCCGGGTTTCCGGGAGAACCCGAGCGCAAAGCGGCCCCCAAGAGTCCTCTCACTGTTCTGTTATTGTTAAGGGTTTAGGGTTTAGAGTTACAGGTCTAGGGTTTAGAGTTAAAGGCTTAGGGTCTAGAGTTAAAGGTTTAGGGTTTAACGTTAGAGTTAAAGGTTTAGGGTTTAACGTTAAAAGTTTAGGGTTTCGGGTTTAAGACTGCAGTTTTTTGGTTAACGCCTTTTTCCGCCTGCAAGTGCAGCCAGAATCCCTCCAAACGGCTTAGGGTTGAGGGTTCAGGGCCCAGCTTCTTGAATTTTACAGGTTTAAGGCTCGAAAGGGTGCTACAGGAGTTTCTACACTGTGTCTATCTTGTTGATGAGGATGCCGGTAATTTGGGGGCGAGGTCATTGCCCGTTCAGGCCTTACAGTAAGGGCTCAGGGCTGAGTGGCTTATAGAGTTGAGGGTTTTGGGTGTAGCTTTTTGGGGTGTAGGTGCTTAGGGGTTTAAGGATTAAGGGTTTAGGACTTAGGGCTTGAGAGTTTGAGTTGAGGGTGTGAGGCTTCGGTTTTTTCTTGACTACAGGGCTTCGAAGTACGATCACGTAAGGAGCATCGAGCTCTCTTGGTTTTTGGGTGTGGCTGCGCTGGATTACAAACAGTTTTGGGGCTTAAAGGGTTGAGGGTTTTTCTGTGGATGCACACCTTTAACCTTTAGGTGTTTATTCATTGCTTCGAGTGCTGGCGTTTCAAGTTTTTTTCTTGGCGTTGAAAGCTTCGGATAAGTGGTCTAATCATCGGGCTTTCGAGGGCCTGCTTGGAGGATCATGGGACTTAGTAAGAAAGGTATAAGTAGAGTTACCCTAACTATAACCCCAGTTACTACGTCCCATGATCCTTTAAGTGGAGAACTTGCGAGTTTCGGATTTGGGAATCTGGATCTTGCCTGTTGAATTTTGGAATCACGGGCAGCCTCGAAATCTGGACCTGAGCACCACCAGCCTGTGTTACAAGCTCGCTTGCGACCCTACCAGATTGCTGGTTTAGGAACCTAAACCCTAAACCCTAAACCCTAAACCCATGCAAGAAGAACGGGAGACCTTTCGTTTGCGTCCCGAGCCCAGATGCCAAGCGAGCAGAAGGCGGGAATCTCAAAGTCCACTTCATGTGTGTGTACCCCAATCCTCCCAGCTCTGCGAACTCGCCGTACCCTTCGGTGTGCGCAGCACCGTTCACCTGGAAGTTTGAGGTTTGGGTTTTTGTGTGTTGATGAGTCTGGGGTAACTATGCGGAGGAAGACGAGGATGATGATGATGATGATGATGATGGTCATCATCATCATCATTGCAATACTAGCAGCAATCATAACCATGGTAATGACGAAACCTTGATGGCGACAGGGACCATAACAGTGACGCCAATAACCGCAACTGAAAACAGTAGTGATAATATCTAGGAATAAACAAACAAAAATGCGGTGAGGTGATGGTGTTGGCGAAAGCGAGGGAGACATGATGCCGACGATGACGGTGCGCCGTGTTGTTCATCCTACTTGGAGGATCATGGGACTTAGTAAGTACGGTTATAAGTACCCTAATTGGGGCTATATGTAGTTATAAGTAGAATTGCCCTAATTATAATCCTAGTTACTAAATCCCATGATCCTTCAAGTAGTCCGCTGAAGCCTGCATGAGCCTCAGATTTGATGAGGGTTTAGGGTTTAGGGTTAGCACCAACTGGTAGAGAAGAAGATGAAACCGTTTAAGTTCAAGTCGTAGAAGTCTCGACCCTAAACCCAAAATCCTAAAACCCTATTCCTGTATGAAATATATATCCTAAACCCTCAATCCCTCAAGCCTTAACTCCATAAATCCTGAACCCTATACGCTCAAATTTCAAATCCAAATCGTCTCCCCGAACCCAAGCCACGGCCTCACCACCTGCCCTCATCGTGGCCGTGGGGGTGCCGCCTGGCGGCGCTCAAATCCAGGCATTTAGGGCTTCCGGTTTAGGGTTCAGTACTAGAATCCTAAACCCTAAACCCAATGTCCCCTTAGAGTACGGGTCCGGTATTGTCGTCCAAGGAAGACTCCGTAATCAAACGAGATTGCGGGCACAACATGCCAACTTGCCTGGGCCTGTAAGTAGGATCTACAGAAGATCTTTGTCTTTTTGTCTTCGGGTTTAAATTCCAAAAGAATCAGATGGATTCAGGATTGTTCGCATAGGCTTGGTGCCTACTTCGCTCTAAAGTGCATGAAGATTACTGTTGATGATACAAATCCTGCATTACCTTAAGGACCCTAAACTATGGGAATTATGGCATATTCCTTATTGTGGGGTAATGCAGGATTTATATCATCAACCGTATGATGCGCCACTTTTTCTAAAATTCTGACGGACTGTAAACCCCCGGCGACTGAGCTGAAACAGGGCCTGAACTGGTACCTCAAACCCGGCTCTCTGAAGCATCAACAGGGGCCCTAGAAACCTTAATGGTTACCTATACTATTTTAGGGGTTCCTTATTATAAGTATAGTATAATGGGCCCCAGGACTTAGGGCTAAGTTTAGGGTTTAGGGGGGCCACTGTTAAAATGGGAGCACCCTTCACTTTCAAAGCCGCGAGGCAGTGAAGCCCTGGATACCAGGATCCAAGGATGGAGATGATAATCGTCATCGTCGTCATCAACACAAAGACCGCTATAGTGACAATAGCGAACATCAGTCATAACACAGAGAATCGCATGATGCCGCTGTACTGCTAGCAAAAGCAGCATTTGCGATAATGAACCATCGTCAACATTGAGTCATCATCTTCATCGCCTTACTAGTAGCAGCTGTACCGTTAAACAAAAAAGGAGGCTACAGCCGCGATCATGAGTCCGATCTCCAACGATGCAACTACCAGAGAGTCCCAAGTTCTTGGTCTAGGGTTTTGAGCTTTTGGTTTAGGGTCTGGGGATTGCAGTTTAGGTTTTGCAGCTGTAGGATTTGAGGGCCATCAGCAAAAGGTTACAAGTAAGAACAAACATAGGCTTGCTCCAACTAGAGCACTTCATGATTTTCAACTGATATTCCAAATGCAGGAGCACTAGCAACCCAAAACCCTAAAGCCCCTACTTACTAAGCTCCCCCATACTTTCAGCAGGCGATGGGCTTTAGGCTAGAATCTCGAGTCTGGGGTATAGTGCTGGTGGGTTGCGGGCGTACCCGCGTCCCACACGCAAGGGGTTCATGGTTTAGGGTTTAGAGCCCTACAAAGTACACCCTCAAACATCCCCCTAAACCCCTAAACCCCTGAACCCTAAACCATCAACACCTGAACCCCTAAACCCTAAACCCTAAACCCCTAAACCCCTAAACCCCTAAATCCTAACCCTAACATCCTGAAACCAAAAAGCCGAAGCAGGCACCTAGGAGCTCGCCCAGCGCAGAGAAAGGCTCCGGAAGGCTCGAAAGCCTCAGCAAAATGGGGACCCAGAGACTCCAATATCCCTTAATTGAGGAATATACCTTAAATTCTCATAGGATCTCTGATATCATCCCTTAATTGAGGAATATACCTTAAATTCTCATAGGATCTCTGATATCATCCCTTAATTGAGGAATATACCTTAAATTCTCATAGGATCTCTAATATCATCCCTTAATTGAGGAATATACCTTAAATTCTAACAGGATCTCTAATATGACTTAAGGAATATTCTCCTTGATTAATTGGAGTCTCTGGGGAGTGCTGGCATCCTCCGGCCTCTTCCCAGAGACTCCAAGATCCCTTAATTAAGGAATATCCTTAAGTACGGACCCCAAAAGTTGAAAAGTTGAGTTTACAGCCAATAAGTAATTAAGCAATATCCTTAAGTAGGGATCCTACTATATTTTAACGTAGTATATCCCTTGATCTCACTGGCCCAAAACCCCAGGGAATAAAAGTGGCAACTTTCACAATCGACGACCTTCTACGAACCCCAGAAGTTGAAAAGCTGAGTTTGCAGGCAATAAGTAATTGAGGAATATCCTTAAGTAGGGATCCTACTAGTTCTTAAGTATATTCCTTAATTAAGGGATGTTGGAGTCTCTGGGTTCGGGTTTAGGGTTTCAAGGCTGAGGGCTTGGGTCGTAGGGACTTAGGATTTAGAGATTTCAAGGCTTTGGAGGTTTCAAGGCTTGGGTTTCTACTTTTTGCTTAAGAAACCACCAAAAAAAAAAATCCCTATATTACCCCCATAAGGAATATATTTTTTATTTTTTGGTGGTTCTTAAGCAAATAGTAGGTTTAAGGCTTGGGTTTAGGGTCTGGGGTTTTGGTGTCGGGCCATCGGGATAACGAGAACCTCTGGGCCTACATGGCAACGGCAACACAGGACCATCAGACCTTAAACCAAACCCCAAAAGCCCTGAACTATACTGAACTTGGAACCCTAGCAAAAATTATAATTTTAGCTGTTTCTTAGGGATTATAATAACCAAAAATTATAAATAATTTCTAAGTACCCCTAAGGGCTCGAATGGCCGCAGCAGCGCGGAACTATCGGTAGCCCCAGTGCCCATGGAAGGCACGCCTTCGCCTGGTGCCGAGCTTGCGAGGCGGCATGCAGATCTTTGACAAGACTCTGACTGGCAAGACGATTGCGTTGGACGTTGAGGCCAGTGGCACGTTCGACAGTGTCAAGGCGAAGTCCCAAATTAAGGCAGGCATCCCGCCCGATCAGCAGCACCTGACCTTTGCTGGCAAGTTTGAGGGCGGCCGTACTCTTTCGGATTACAACCTGCAGAAGAGATCAACCCTTCACTTGGTGCCGCACTTGCGAGGCGGCATGCAGATCTTTGTCAAGACCCTGAAGCTCACCTTGGACGTTGAGGCCAGTGACAAGTTCGACAACGTCAAGGCTAAATCCCAAGATGAGGCAGGCATCCCGCCCGACCAGCAGCACCCGATCTTTGCTGGCAAGCAGTTTGAGGGCGGCCGTACTCGTTCGGATTACAATCTGCAGAAGGAATCGACCCTTCACTTGGCGCCGGGCATGCAGATCTTTGTCATGATCCTGACGCTCACCCTGGAACAGCAGCTTCTACGTGACGGAGTTCCGGGATTGCTTAGTTTCCGACTTCAAATGCTGATGAGGGGTAATTCGAATTTACAGACCAGTAAGAACGAACCTGCCAAGGTATTGCTTGCTGTCTGTTTAGCCGAGTAGGGCTGCCAGCTGGAATGTGGAATATGACCCTAGCCACATTCTGCGAGTCTGCATTTTGAGTGGAACTGCGCGGAACCGCAGTTGCACCGCTCGCTTCCTTGGACATGATTATGCACTCACCCTTGCTGCTTGGTGTTTTTGTGTTTGGACAGTTGGTTACCTTTTCCGCGGCCCAATGCGTGTAAACGCTGTCACTGTGCGCATTTTGTGGCCGCGATGAGGGCTCCGGCGGTTTGGATGGCCTCTCAGGAGCCCGGTTTGGAGGAATACCTTCCGCTTTCGGGTGATCGTGTCCTGCTCTTCCGTTTGTTACCCTGAGTGCACACCACCAGTCACTACTGTAGTCGTGGATTTCTGCTCCAGGGTTCTTTTCTCGGTGGCTTTTTGGGTAGCCCGCAAGGGATACCAGGCGCTTTGAATCAGCCAGGTCCGTTTAAGTGTTGTGCCTGCACTTTTCTGCCTCGACAAGAGTTTGAATGGCAGGTGCGTGAAGGGCATGCCACTTTGTATAATTAGGCCCGGGACAGTTTTTGGCTTCGCCTACTGGGTACATCCCTGGCCCGACCCCTCCCTCTAGTGCATATGCCAAGCAATTTCTGCGCAGAGGTGAGGGTACCCGTCACAGTTTTTTAAGTTGCAAGTTTTGGGTCGCGCTTTCATGAGCACTACGGACCGCACAGAACAGAACAGAACAGAAGTACCCCTAAGTGAAAGCATTGAAACCCTGACCCCCTTGGGTTTACGCTCCAGGGTTCGAGGCTTCGGGTTCGCCCGGCAACTCGTCGATCAGGCGGCGGCCGTCCGACAGGTTTGCATCCTAGGTCTGCAGGCGTGGGATCATCAACTTACCCTAGAAAGTTAGAGTAGGGCTTTGGGGTATGTTAAAGCATGGTCATAGAAAGATTATACTCTATTTTTGTCCGATTCCGACCCCCGCGCTACAGGTTTAGGGCATTCTTGGGTTCAGAACTTTGGTTTAGGGCTGAGGATTTAGGATAGAACGTCAAGCCTATGTAATTGCATTACTTTTGCAGTATGGCAAGCTCTGGCGGCATGCAGACCATCTAAGCAAAACAACCGAAGAACGGGGCCTCGAGCTTGCAGTGCTTGCTAGAACAGGGGCTGGGCTCCAGATCCAAGGCCTTTTCGCGATATAGGCATGCAAACCCCAATCTGTCTAGATGTGTCCCCAGTCAGGTTAAGGGACCGATGACCCAAAGTGAGAACCTTCCTGCTCGATAGGCTTTCTGAGAGCTACACCGACAACCCAGATTGTCAACCCTAAACCTTTTGCCGGAAAACCGTAACCTGCTTGCTAATGCAGACCCCTAGTTACACACTTCCCTCAACGAAAACAGGGACCTTAAATACTACGGCCCGGAACGGACCGAGGGCTGCTGGGCCTAGGCAGGGACACAACAGACCGCAGCAGGATCCTTGTGTTTCATGCAGAGGTCGAAATGGCTGGTAAAAGTAGCCTCATAGAGTCCGCCTCATATAGTCCACATTTTAGATACCACCCAAGTCCAGTTGGTCTGCAAACTATTATTGACAAAGCTGTATTGAAACCCTCATAAAACCCTCATAAAACCCTGTTGTTGGTCTTCGGGCCCGAACGCTCCGTGCTTTTTTGGGGACTGCTAGGACTGACCCTCACCAAGCCGCCCGAGTCCAGCGGGCCGCGCAGAAAAGTGCCGCCGCGCGCAACGCCAGCGCCGGCATCGTGGATGCCAGGCGGCTCCTCCAGAAAAACCCGGAGATCGAATACAGAGTTTAGGATTTAGGGGTAGGGTTCAGGGTCCAAGGACCGGAATAAGCAGAATTGGGTGTTGGGGCATTCCTGTTGGCGTTTACAGTTTATGGCACAGGCAGATCTTCCACAAGACCCTCCGTAGGAAACATGACATGGTGAGTAACTGGCAACCGGAATATGACTGACGGCTGACGAGCACCTAGCCGAAAGCCCTATGCCTATGCACCCTATGCTTTTATTAAGGTATCTAGGAAGATTCAGGTCTGTCTTAACGTGACACTTGGAGGTTCATGGGTAGTTATAAGTGTGGCTAGAAGTCCTTTTATACAGGTTATAACGATAGCTATCCTACTTATAACCCTACTTATAACTACCCATGAACCTCCAAGTAGACCCTACAGTAAACCCTATACCCTCATAGAACCCCCATAGACCCTTAAAGGAACCCTTATAGCTACCCATGAACCTTAAGATACTGCTCCAAGATATGACAGCCCAGCCTCATGGGAACGAGCCTGAAAGTCGAAAAATGTCTTGGGGCAAACGGGTAAATCATGCTATGCGGGAGTTTGTGAAAATGAGGGGTACCTGATTCAATTTGGGGTCCTTCCTACTATTTGGGGTGCCAGATTGGGGTCCCCAATTTTCGGAAACCCCCATGTCGAAAAGTGGTTGTAAGGGAATACATTCGCTGACTGAGGAGACCTGTTTTTTACGCTGACAACTGCGTCGCACACAGCATAATTATTGCATGATGCACGGTGTGGTTTCATTACCTATAAACTCAATAAAGAGAACAATGAAAATCCTCTCAGAGCTGTCTAGCAAGACCTCAGAAGACCCTGATGTAAACAAGCTGTAGACCTCCATAACCCAAACCCGCTTGAAAAAAAAAACATAATATGTATATATATATATATATATATATATATATACATATATATGCTCGCCCCACCCCAAGATCTACGTCTGCAGGTTTCCGGAGTCTGGATTTCCTGATTTCCGGCTTTCTGCAGTACGTATGTTTCCAGATTCCAGATTTGCAGGCACCATGTTTCTAGAGATTCCAGATTCCAGATTTCCAGATTTGCTCACCCTAAGGTTTCCAGATTTCCAGAAATCTGGAAACTGGAATCTGGAAACTTAGAGCCTGCAGATCTGGAAATCTGGAATCTGGAATCTGGAAACTTAGAGCCTGCAAATCTGGAAACCTGGAATCTGGAATCTGGAAACTTAGAGCCTGCAAATCTGGAAATCTGGAATCTGAAAACCTAGAGCCTGCAAATTTGGAAATCTGGAATCTGGAACTTATCCTGCAAATCTGGAATCTGGAAACTCGAGGACGTGTAGAAACATGAGCATCAGCCGTGGCCTCATGAGCATCAGTCGGCTTCGGGGCTGGTCCTAAAACCAAAATCGCCTGGTCAGAAATGGTCTTTGAGGTTGATCATGGTCAAAAAGAAGTGAATTTGCTTAATGCACCACTCAACAACCAGGTCATGGGGTGGCGGCTCCAATTATTGCACTGCCAAGCAGCACCGCTGATGCTCATGATGCGCGTGTCTTGTCCGCCCCAAACCTGCTGATGCTGGTCCTAATACCAAAACCGCCTGGTCCGTCTCGTTCTCCCACAGCCGCAGTATTGAGCCAGTGAGTGTTTATGAGAGGGTCTAGTGAATAGGGACATGTGATATGTGATGGGTGCGCAGCTGTGCACAATCAAGTGTGACTCCAAGCCTATTGAAATCTTGCCGCACACGAAGCCATGGAAATCCACCCGGACGAGGTGCGGTTCAATCAAGCAAGGGAGGCAACTACGGATATGGTCCTACGTGAGATGCATGAACACGTGTGTGTGGGTCCAATGCCAGTAGGGGTGATTAACATCACAAATCTTCCGATGCGAGAGCTGCTCGAATGAATGTATGTGTTTGGTGTTGTTTTCTGTTGCTGTTCTTTTAATGGGGGATGGCGAGCTACAGTAACGTTTGTATATGTGCATATACGCGGTATGGTATGTAGATATGATTGTCGAAGTACCTGCCAAGGCTATCCGATACAGCTAAAAGTCTCAAACACTTCATCGACATCGTGCATGATGCGACCCCCGAAGATATTGACCGAGAACAAGTCAAGGCGATCCTCAAGTCGAAGAATTTTCAGGAGCTGCCGGAACCAATGCGGTTGCAAAAAATCCCCCCTTCGAGTATAAATCACAGTGTTTCCTCATTCCGCAACTCAACGGCAAGATTACCGTCCTGACGCACTACGTCCTTGGCCAAACCAAAACCTCCGGGGCCGCTGTTCAGACACTCATCCGGGGTACAGGCTATGAGATCGCTTGGGGCAGCGGGAACAAAGTCGTGGAACGCAAAGCTCTGCAATGGATGTTGGAGCAAATGGGCGGTACTCAATATAGACACTTTTCACTCTCAAGTGAGAGCCTTAGCTAATGGTTTGTTTTTTGTATGTAAACAAACCTGATGTTGTGTGGTTTGTTCATTCAGAAAAAGAATGACTCAGTGGTATAAATACACATATATAAACATAACAAGCATAAAGGAAGAAACGACCCGCTTCATCATCGGTCTTGAGCATATCGAATGACGAGGAGCAGGATGCAGGATGGGATTTCATCATCAACGAAGGGGAGCGGGACAAGGGTGAGTTGAGGCAACTTCGTTGGATTCACAGGCACATCAATCGGGAAGGCTCGCCGATCAAGGGATGGCCCGAAAAGCTTGTTCAGCGAGCCCTTGACAGCCTTGCTAACGACGGGTGTTTGGCTTCACTGACCACCAGGTACGACTTCACCATGCAGGATTTCGAGCCAGTGTTCGTGCAGGGTGTCATGGAAACGGTAGTCCCATACCTACTAGATCACAGTTTGTGGCTTTTGGGCGAACCGGGGAAGGGTAAAACGCCACTGGCACGCACGCTCGCCATGGCATTCAGCAGATACCACGGCGGCAAAGGCTCATTCAGAAGCTCATCGGATTTCGATTTCTTCCGAGGGTTGCTTTTCAACAAAACTATTCCGGCATTGTACGACGATGGGGACATTTCGGACGAATCAATCAAGAAAAAGAAGGCGTTTTGTGTTTTGTGATGTAGGCGATACGGAAGGCATTCTCAAAGAACGCTGGACGGCCGCAAAGTTCACGAAGCACCAACTCCGCATCATCATCGACAACTCGTACAACGACAAAGACATCCCCAGCATGCCGCAGCAGGAAATTGACCACCATGATTTCATCAGCATCGTCCGTCCAGCGATCGGCCATATCTCCGATGCAGACACTCGCACTATCCTCAAACGCAGTGTGTTCATAGTCTTCGGCCGCGACTCCATATTCATTCGACTCCCCTCCGAACGGGTTACAAGTGTCACTCGATTCCGATGGCATTTGAAGGACATTCTTTCGGATGAGAGCAAGCCCCGGTTCTCCAATTACAAGCTTGATGGTCCGGTGCCCCCCGACTACCAGAACAGGGTCGACACAGAGCAAGCTTGGCTACATGAAGCTATTCGCCGTCATCAAGCCGTGAACACCGTAGAGCAGCACAACAACATGCCCGGCCCCAACGCCCCACCAGCAGGGGTCAGAATCAAGATGGAGCCCGATGAATTTGCAGACGCAAACGAAGGACTCGCAAACATGTGCAACGGGGAGGCGCTAAATGCAGACAGTCCAGAGCCTCCTGCCCCAAAGACCCCACCCAGCAAAGTCAAGCAAGACCAGCAAGAGCAACTCGACCAGTCATACGCGCGCTTTCTTCTTGCGAGTTCTGCCTTCAGCAGTGCCTTGGGCCCCAGTGGTGTCATTGAGCTCTCTCCCTCACCATCCGTGCATCGCAGCAGTCAAGCCTCGCATGTTACAGAATCCCAGGCGGATATTCCCAACCCATTGTTTCCCGGAGTGGATGACGACGACGACGACGTCGATGCAATGGACGTGGCATCGGGGGAGGAAGAATCTCTCTTTGGGGTTGCCAAGGATGACGATGATGATGAGGATGCGGGTGTGCTCGGACATGGCGGGTCTTTGGATGACGAGAGCTAAATTTCGTGTACAGTGTGGGAATGGGGAAAGCCGGGAGCCAATACTGGTGTTTGAATCAAATGAGTTTATTGAAGCTGGTTCGCTTGCTGTGTGTTAGGTTAGGTCGTATAGATGTTATACCCAAAGATTGATGCTCCGAGACATGGCGCGCAGCCATACAGCCGGCTAGTTTTGAGGATTTGTGTAGCACACGTGACAATATGCCGAAGCACGAACGTGAAAAATTGAGATCGCTGCAAACATACTGCGATGCCTCATGTGTCATGATGTGTCATGTCGGAGCCCACTCATTCGAGACTTGATTTGTTTGCACGGCTTCAACATTAAGTCAGTGAGGATTTTCCTTGTTGCGATTAACACTTTTCGCAAGATGCCAAAAAGTGTAAAGAAGGCGATGAAATCGCCACCATCCCCTTGCCCGAAACGTGGCAAGCAGCGTGTACAGAAGCGAGCCATGAAGCAGAAGTATGTGCAGGTACTGTATGTTCGGCATGGAATCCCGACAACCAAGAACAAAGGGCATCGTGATCGATGGGGTCTTTCAGTGCACACACTGTTGTCCATGACCGGTCGCAGTCTAATCCGAAAGCTCGTCACGGACAAGATCCTTCCCAATTGGTCTGGTCATGACTGTCCTGGGTGTGGTCATGGTACTTTGGGTTCGTTGTCGTATGTCAAATCCAAGAAAGTATGGGGGTACAGATGCGGCCATCGTGGATGCAAGAAGCTACTCTTGGCCCATGACTTCCACCCGATTTTTTTCCAAGGGCAGCAGGAATTCCATCACAGATCTTTGTCATCAAGCTGCGGCACTTTATTGTGCGGCTGCAGGCGTTTACTCACAATCTGCGCATCTCATCCTCGACCTTCACCATAAAGCCGTAGAGCGGGTCTACACAAATGTCGACACATCTCGAGCTCGTTATGTTCAGTTGAAGGAGAAGGAAATCCGTTACGGAGGCAAGTGGGAGGACGTAGAGGTTGACGAAGTGGATGTGGGAAAGCTCACGGACAACACTACAACAAGCACAAAGAATACGGTTTGGGAACAGTGGGGAGGTTTGGTTGAACGCGGCCGACCCTCTTCGTTGAAGTTGTTTCGTTTGCATCCCGCAAAAACCGTCAAACGAGCACCAGGCCCAGGAGCTATGAGGAAGAGGGAGTGGAAACCCATCGCCACCAAACATCTTGCCAACAGGAAGGTTGTCCTCCATAGCGATGGCGCCCGTGCCTACAAGCTCAAGGTTCCCGGTGCGATGCATTGCAACGTGATTCACAAGAAGAAAAAAGTCAAAGTGGATGGGAAGGCCGGTCGTTATGCTGTCATTTGGGTTTTATTTTGTTGTAACAAATGTGACAACCAGAAAACCGCGAAAATCACTACAGGTTCGATGGGTGAAGCCGCACTACACCAAGGTTTACTCCCTCAAGATGCCCACCGGAGACCAGATGAAAGTCAAGAGTGGCACTCAAATTATCGACCGTTTTTGGGGCTTGTTGCGGTCCCACATTAAGCACACGGCCCGCACCCCCGGTAGCCCCATTCTCACCCGAAAGATCCGCTCAGCTCAGTTTGAGTACTGGTTTAGCAGGTGCAATATATGGAAGGCTACCGGCAAAATGCTGGACACCTTGTTTACGGAGTCGTGACAGAGAATGCTTCGAACCCAGTTTTGGCCCAGTTTTGGAAGATGTAGCAGTGTAGCAGTCTGACGTGTGAGCATGCGTGAGTGCAGCCTTCAAGCGCCGAAAGAATTGCACAGTGCCCGCGATGTGCGATTATTGTTTGTTGACGCCTCAAAAATGCAAAAAAACATGGGGTTTTTAATACAACAACAATAATCGGGCACTACCTTCCAGCAGTTTCGGCTTTCCGGACACATGAAGTAGCATTTTTGGTAGCCGAAAATCGGCCGCATATTTATCGAAGTATCGAAACAAGATGCGTAGCAGCACAGTTGTGTGTATTCTACGATAGCAGCGATTATACCGATATTTACGGTGTTTTCTGCACTAAGGACTCGTGCACACGTGTCTGTAGTTAAACATAAGATGGTATGCACACTGCAAGCGTAGATCTTGGGGGGGTGACCATATATATATATATATATATATATATATATATATGCATATATATGCATATATATATATATGTCATATTTACATATATCAACAGTACAGCACCCCGCTCCAGAGTTCGACGCACCGCGGCGCGTCGCCAGCGCGCTCGGCGGCCGCAAGGAGGGCAGCGAGCACATCTCAGTAGGGTTCTGAGGGTTCCTTCACGGGTTCCCATAAGCGGTCCCTTTAAGGGCCGCTTGAAGGGTCGGACGGGCGGCGTGAACGCGGAAACGCAAGCGGACAAACGTTTACCCAGGACGCGGCTCTCAGTGTGGTGCTGGGTTCATGTGTTTTGGGTTGATAAGAGCATACACGGATTCCAAAACCATCCAGAACCCTAAACCACCTCAACCCAAGCCGTAAATCCTGAAGAAAGACACGACCCCAGCTGCAGACGAGGGGACCTGGCTCCGTTGAACCTTCGGCGATCCGATTGGCCTCCTCGACATGAACCAATTATTGGAGCGTTCTCTACAGCTCATGAGATAAGTCCTGCATGACCCACTCTGAGGAATATGCCATAATTCCCATAGTCTAGCGTGATTAAGGTAATGCTGAATACACATCAGCAACCGCACGTCACGGGTACTTGAAAGTGGCGCTGTTCGTCGCAGCGCTCAGGGGTCAGCGCCGATGATGGTTTCGGGTTAAGTGTATCCTGTAGGCTCCGGGGAGCACTGTTAAGAGTCATCCGAGGCTACGGTTAGGGGATCTTAGGTGCGGCATAATTGATACTTGCAGGGCTGCAGCGCGCACTCGTTTCCGGGGCTTTCATCAACAAAAAGAGTCCAACCAACAAAGTGCATCATGTCACTACAGGTATGGCTCGTTATCAAGATACCTACGCGTGCCCACCCTGAACTCGGTTCCTGAGCAGCCCCGCAATAATGAGGGTACCCTTTCTCGTACCATCTAGCAAGGGAACCCAAGAAGGGAAAGGGTAAAACCCAAACCCTATTCTAGTTACTGAGCCCTATGGGGCTCAGATTGCTGAACCACCTCATGGGGTTGGGATTGCAGGCTCAAGGTTTCGGCCACGCAGATGCATGCCGTCTGATGCCAATGTTGAGGCTCAATGTTGAGGAAGCCAGTCCGCTCCAACAGGTATTCGGGAGGTCGGCGAAATCACCAATACTATTCCCCTTTACTCCCTATGTAGCTTTACTGTGATTGGCCCCGTTCTGATGAGTCATGCCCCTATGCTAGACCTGTGAGCACGCTCACCCGACGAAAGGATTGCGGCGCCACAACTCCTGAACCCACAACCTCCAACCCCTATAGGATCTTTCATTGGTGCCCTTAGAGAGCCCTTGCAGGAACCTTTGACGCACCCTTCTGGGAACCCTTCATGAGAACCCTCTTCCCCGGCCGCATCGCGAACCATACGCAATTCTCCAAGCTCGCCCCTAAACCCTAAACCCTAAACCCTAAACCCTAAACCCTAAACAAGCTTGCGGATCCGCGGCGTCAAACTCAAACCACCCCAAACCCTGCGCACGGATTCGGGCTATAGAGCTTACCTGAACCTACCAAACCCTACCTTTTTGTAGGTTCTTATTATAAACCCTAATATGGAATTTATAGGGGCCCTACTTTTTTTGTAGGTTTTGGTAGGTTAACGTAGGGCTTTTATGGTTTTGGATCTTGCAACTAAGCCTCATCTAAACCCTGAAACCTCGCATAAAGCAGTCTCCCACTTCGGAAACACCCTCAACCCCTAAACTGCCTCTGAGGGTCCATGTGCCCAAATAGTATATACTCTGGCCCCAAAGTACCTTTTTAGGGACTACTTCAAGGCCAAAGCATATACTATTTAGGTACATGGACGGACCCTCAGGGTGCCCTAAATGCTGAACTCGTATCCCTCAGCCCAGATCGCACCTGCGGGAAGCCGGCCCGGCACAACGACCGGCAGGTGGCGGCCATCTGCTGGGGCGTCAAGTCCTGGAACCCGAAACCCTAAGGGTTTAGGGTTTAGGGTTTAGGGTTTAGGGTTTAGGGTTTAGGGTTTAGGGTTTAGGGTTTAGGGTTTAGGGTTTAAAACCCCTGCAGCCTAAACCTTACATAGAAACGGAACCCCTGCGGTGCAAGAGGATAACCGCTAGAACAACAACATCAACCGTTGATAACAATTCCAAAAGCAACGGCAGGAACTTGAGGTTGGGAACTGCAAACGCGTATTCCGGATACATGTTAGAATTCACGTGGGGATTGGGTGTTTCAAATCTCGCCGACCTGCAGCGATGGCGACAGCATGCACAAATTGAGGCCGCACCCAATCGAGGCCGATTCGCTAGGGAAAGCATCATTAAAGTGCGCTAAACCCTAAAACCCGTATGCTTTCAGGGGCCTCGAGCATGCACCCCAAACCCAGTATACGCAAGCAGCCTCGCCGAGAAGCGGATTGAAAACCCCGAAAGCAACCCTGAAGCCCGAAACCAAAAGACCCCATGTGGGGTTTAGGGTGCAAACCTAAAGGGTTTTGGGTTTAGGGCTTAGGGGTAGAGCCCTTGAAGAAACTTACCCTCAACGACGCCCTCTGACAAGTTTTTTCTAGAAGCGGTGCTTAAGCATGAAAGCTTTTTAGAGGTATGAAAGCTTTTTGGACAACCTTGATTTTAACCGCATGACGGGAGACCGAAAGGGGGGTTTAAGATTCTTGGGGTAGGGATTCCTTAATATGAACCCTATTATGGGAACCCTAATCCCTACTAAACCCCCATAGGCTGAAACCCCTTTTCGCCTCCTATGGCCCCAAAGCTCAAAGACACCCCAAGGCAGCCTCCCGCTTCGCAAGCGATGCTTCGAGCTGCTCCACCAGCGGCCTCTGGGTTCCGGCTTTGGACGTAACCCCTTAATTAAGGAATATGGCTTATATAAATCATAATATGAAGCCCAGTATAATTTAAGCCATATTCCTTAATTAAGGGGTATTGGGCTCTCTGGGTTTGTGGATGTCTGTAAGGGCTTTGTGTTGTTATCGGTTCTATAAGAGCTGTGTGAGGCGTTTTATGCGAACTCCATGAGACATTAACAGGGTTAAGACGGTTTTCATGTTGAGGGTCGACTGCCCAAACGATGCGCGCACCTGCCCTGCCCGCGCACTGCATGGTGAAGATAGAGGGTTCAGGGACCCTAGTGTAAGCCCCTTGCTTTAGGGTTTAGGGCTTTGGCTCCAGGGTTTAAGGCTTAGGGTTTCGGGTAGTTCAGGGTTATACACCCCAATAGCACCCCATAAAACTCTGCAAAACCCCATAGGACGAGGCAAGGCCATTCAGAACTCTATAGAACTCTAAACAAACAGTAGAGGCAATTATTGGGCCCCCAATATAGAACCCTACTATGGATCCCTGTATCGACCCCTTTCAGCCCCTATAGCAAAGCCTCCATTAAGGGAGTTACATTGAAAAGCCCAGCCTTTCCGTTCTTGACCCAATCCCCCGAAGACCGAAGCCCGAAACCCTATAGTAGAAGCCAGAGAGTTGGAAGATGGCTTCAGGAGGATTAGTGCTAGGATCCCTTATACTTTACCTTAAGCATGGGGTTCATGATGTTCCAACTTTCTGGCTTCTACCATAAACCCTCAAACCCTCAAATCCACGCCCTCTACCAAAACCTCAACACCAAGGTAGCCGTAATGTAAGCAATACTCCTTAAACCACCCTGGGCCCGAAACCCTGTATAATTTTAATATGGAGATTCTAAAGGTAAACTATCCTAAACCCAGTAGTAGACATTGTTCATGCCCCACATCACCCAAGAAGGAACATGACCCTGAATCGGCTGCCTGACGCTCTCTTGCCAACTTTTGTCCGAACCGTTTGTCCCTCGGCTTGAGGCTTGAGGCTTTCGAGGCCTGCAGGGGATCTAGGGTGCTAGGGGATCAGGATTTTCGGGTTCAGGGGTTTGGGATTGTCTTTTGGAGTGTAAGGTGCTAGAGGGATGTAGGGCCAGGAGTTTACTTTTCGGCTTGGGGATGAAACCACGGTGAAGTGCTGATGCTTGGATTTGGAGGTGCGGACTGTGTTAAGTTCGTAGTGCTTGGATCTTGGCTCCCAGAGATCGTATTCAGGGCTGTGCACCCGGATTGATTTAAGGTTTAGGGTTTAGGGTTTAGGGTTAGGGTTCAGCAGCTCTGACTTTGAAAACTTCTTGTCAAGCTATTTTCAAGCCAACACCCCACCCGCCCAAAGGGTCCCCCCACATTAAGAAAACACAATATTATCTTTCAGTTTAAAATAAATACATCATCTTCTAGATGCTACCAACAATCTCTGCTACTGTCTTCATCACTGATTTGATGTATGTATTACACGATTGTTCCAATATATAGAACATCTTTGGCATAACATATCCAAACAACTACCCGACAGACAGTTACATCTTCCAGGGGGTGAACACTTCAATGTCATTGCATCATATCGCATATCATGCACAGCTTACCGTGCCCTCTTGAACCGAAAACTTGTTAGATTTAGTTATCTTTCTTGTGAAGGAAGTGATAGTTCGCAGATGCCTCTGGTAAGGTTTTTGTCTTAGTAAATGCCGTGGTGATGGATCGCGGATACTTGTTAAACTTATCTGTCTTGCGAAAGGAATGATGTTTCGCGGATGCATGTGGTAAGGTTTTTGTCTTGGCAAATGCCGCGGTGATGGGTCGAGGATGTTTGTGGTAAGGTTTTTGTCTTGGCAAGTGCCTGCCCTGCCCTGCCCTGCCCTGCCCTGCCCTGCCTCTGCCCTCTGCCCTAAACCGTAGGGCCCTAAACCCTGGTCCCTAAACCGTGGGGCCCTAAACCCCGTCCCTAAACCGTAGGGCCCTAAACCCTGGTCCCACGAGTTTTGATCAATTCCCACGAGTTTTGATCAATGGCCGCGAGTTTTGATCAATGCCCGCGAGTTTTGATCAATGCCCGCGAGTTTTGATCAATGCCCGCGAGTTTTGATCAATGCCCGCGAGTTTTGATCAATGTCCGCGAGTTTTGATCAATGCCCGCGAGTTTTGATCAATGCCCGCGAGTTTTGATCCATGCCCGCGAGTTTTGATCAATGCCCGCGAGTTTTGATCAATGCCCACGTGTTTATTAGGGTTTAAACTACTATAGGTAGAGAGGTTTAGGGTTTAGGGTTTAGGGTTAGGGTTTAGGGTTTAGGATTTAGGATTTAGGGTTTAGGGTTTAGGGTTTAGGGTTTGGCTGGTTTGCTTTCAACAGCATCTTCATCTCCTGGGTGCGCGTGCTGTGGCCCCAAACCCAAGCCCCTAAGCACCCTGAAGCCCTGAAGCGAAAACCATGCAGAATCCCCCAGCACCCTGTACCCGAAACCCAAATCTGAAACCGTAGCCTTGGCATCAAGTTGATGTATTCCTTCACTTAGGATCGTACAAAACCGTATGATACCCCTATCAAACCGTGTGAAGCTGCTATAAGACAGTATAAAGCCTGTATGAGCCCGCCATAACACCAGATGAAGCCCTCATAAACCCTTCATCTGGGAGTGTCCGAAAATGGGGGGACCCTTATAGTGGGATCCTTGTTATAAGGACCCCAAAACAAGGTATCCCTGAATTTACGAAAACTCCCCTCTAAGACCCGAGAGCACTGAAGTCGAGCCAAACAGCCACCGGACTCCACCATGGTAAGGAGAGAGGTAGCCAGGTTTACGAAGCTCACCTCAGATTGCGGATTCTACAAGGGAGTTTCCGACAAGTCGGGGTACCTTATGTTGGGGTCCTTGTAACAAGGATCCTACTATTTATGGGTCTATGTGAGGGTCCCCCTATTTTCGGAAATTCTCACAAGACTTCTGGGCTTAGGGCTTAGGATACGCGGCTGTTGGTTGAAGGCTCAGGGGTGCGTTAGTTTGGGATTGTTGGGTTTTAAGGTCTGGTTTGAGATTTCGGGTTCAGGGGTGCTTTGATTTGGGGCTTCTGAAGTTCTACAAGGTTACACTAGACCCAAGAGTAACCTAGGAATAAAAAGGGTGCCCTTTTTGGTTTAAAGGGGCTTATAAGGGAACCTGAACCCTTAAAAAGGGAATAAGGGCCTACTCTAGGTCCTAGTACAAGAGTCGCAAAAGGGTTCTGCAATTGTTCCGAAGGAACCAGGGACTTGGTTATCAGTTTAGAGTTTGGGGCGCAATCACGGGATGCTTTGCTTTGGGGACAGTGGGCTGGGGGGGTTGGTGCTGCTGGGTTCCTAAACCCTAAACCGTACAGCAAGCCCTACAACAGAAGCGCTCAAATTAACCTTACACCCTAAAGCCTAAACCCTAAACCCTAAATCCTAAACCCTAAATCCTAAATCCGAAACCCTAAACTCCAAACCCTAAAACCCAGGGACACATGGAGGATCGAGGGTTGCAACAGGCCAGCTTTGGTCTCTGGCATTACTATACTACGGTTGATGATAGAAATCCTGCACTACCTTAAGGATCCTAAACTATATTACATTTTGTTAAGCTTTACTATGACATATTATCTTGTTACACTCTGTTAAATCATACTACGTTGTATTATAATGACTTAGACTACATTGTGTTGTGTTATACTATGTGAATGATAAACAGGTGACATAGAAAAGCTGCTCATGGCAGAGTGGTTCTGCAGGCAAGTTTCAGCTACAACAGGTAAGGTTTGAGATGTATCACAGCGGTACCAAGACTTTCAACAGCTTTTCTTCGAGGCTGCCGCCCACGTTCGGCTGTGGGGGTTGGGTAAGTAAGGGCTCAACCATGGGGTACACTGATTCTAACTTGGTGTTGCGGAAACCTTCAGACTCAGGAACTCATATGCGTAAGACGAAGAAGAGGAGGAAGAAGAAGAAGACATGGGACACTGGGCTTTGAAAAAGAACAGGTAGGTGCCTTACCAAGTAGAATAGGGCTTGGGGATATAAGTGTTTATAATATAGAGAAACTTCCGGGCTGGTACGACATGGGTGGTTGTCAAAATTGAGGTCCCCTTTTGGGGTACCCTAAATAATAGGTGCCGTATTGTAATAATAAGGACCGAGAAAGGGACCCTAATTTTGACAACCACCCATATTGAAATCATGGGAATCTATGTTATGACGACCTCGAAAGCTCCAAACCTCCGGCTCTCACACTTGGCCCTTCTGCAAGCCCTAAACCCTGCAGGGTTTAGGTTGTAGGGTTTGGGGTTTAGGGTATGAACCCTAAATCTTAAACCGAAAACCCTACGACCTAAACCCTAAATCCTAAACCCTAAACCCTGGTGTACTGTAAACCTTGAAGCAGCCATGCTGGCGTTGTCAAGTTCATCGCAGCGCTGGCGAGAGATCACCAGCAGGTCCGCACGGATCTCCTCGGATGTGAGGCAGGGTTCCTTGAAGGGGCTTCCATTGATGGTTTAGGGTTTAGAGAATAGGGACAGGCTCCTTTAAAAGGGGTTCTTGTGTAGGGTTGTATGGGGTGTTTATAGCTGTCTTATGAGGATACGATTGATGATATAGATCCTGCATCACCTTAAGGAACCTAAACTATGGGAATTATGGTATGCTCCTTATTATGGATCATGCAGGATTTATTTATATCATCAACCGTATCGTCAGCGATAACCTGTACAAGGCCTTGCAAACCCCCGCCCTTGTACCCCATAAAATCCCGAGAAACTAGACCTGGCCTCAGGCTATATTCCCCTTGCACCCAAAATCAAATCCCCCCTAAGTTTATACAAACGAAAAAGCGCTCTAACCCCTTTTAAACAACCGAATACACTGTCTCAGACCCTCTGGGAGCCCGCTGATCTGCGCCAAAGTCTCGGCATCCGCCATTCGAAACTTCCCGAACGCCCAGGCGATGGCGCAGAATTCGTCGGGCGCGAAGGTCCAAAGCTTCCCGCCTTTGCCTGGGCGCATTCGAGTAGAGAGGTGATGTAGGAACCTGATTGCCCAAGGCTTCTTAATCATTAAGGATGGTGCTACTGCTATGGCTTCGGCTGTTTGGTATGGGTTTCTGGGGTTTAGGATGCTAGCGCTTAGGTACTAGTCTTAACGATGCATTCAGGATCTTTAGTGTTAGGGACGCCAGGGTTGAGAATCTAAGAGTTCGGGTTTCAGGGCCTGGAATGCTAGGGGGTAGGATATCCGGGTTTGCTAGAACTTAGGGTTTAGGGTGTGTTAGGACATGGGGGTTTTGGGGACTTAGGGCAGTAGTAACGGTGTTCGGGATGCTAGGCTCGAGGATGTTAGGATTCGGGGATTTGGCATATGGCATTCCAGAGATGCTAGGACTTCGGGCTTTAAGGTTTAGGATTTTCGACGTAGCATGCCAGGGCTGCTAGGATGCAAGATGCTAGCATCGGTTGTGGTAGTGTCTTCAAAGTTAAGGTTTTAGGATGATTGAGTTTCGGTTAAAAAAGGTTGGGGGTCGAGTGCTGTCACGCTGCTAAATCACACCAAGATGTTGAATGTGCCCAAGACCTAATCTAGGATACCCAGTAACCTAAGAAAAAAAAGCCTCTCTTTTTGGTATTGGGTAACTTTATAAGGAACCTAGGACTACAAAAAGGGAATAAGGGTACTACTGGGCATCCTAGTAATATACTCATCGACAGCAACAGACTTTCCGGCAATGCGGTTGTTGGAACGTTGAAGGCTTCGGACTTCAAGGCTTCATGCTTTGCAGGTGTTTTGAGGTGCCTAATATAGGGGCCATAATAATCGGAATAGGGTTTGGATATATTATACTATACTTAAAATAAGGAACCGCCAAACAAGTAGTGGTAATAGTTTAAGCTCTTTTTTTAATTAGCATGGTTGGGATCTGGAGTTTGGGTTTCACGTCGTCACGAGCTGTCGAGAAGCCCTAAAGCCTAAAACCCTAAGCCGTAGAACCCCTAAACTTCCTAGAACCCCTAAACTTCCTAGAACCCCTAAACTTCCTAGAACCCCTAAACTTCCTAGAACCCCTAAACTTCCTAGAACCCCTAAACTTCCTAGAACCCCTAAACTTCCTAGAACCCCTAAACTTCCTAGAACCCCTAAACTTCCTAGAGCCCCTAAACTCCCTAAAACCCCTACAACCCTTAAACCCCAAAACCCTAATAAAAATCCCTAAAACCCCCCTAAAGCACCCGAAACCCCCAAGCGCTCCGAGCTGCACGCGTGCGCGAGGGCAGCGACCAGCCCAGGATCCTGGAATTCCACGCAGGCGAAGGCCCAGGCGCAGTTCCTGAGCTGCAAGGCTCCGATAAACGAACCCTTAGGCGGTTCCTAGAGGGTTCCTAGAACCCTAAACCCTAAACCCTAGAAAGGGATCCATTAAGGGTTCCTAGAAAGGGATCCATTATGGGTTCCTATAAAGGGATCCTTAAAGGGTTTCTATAAAGGGATCCTTAAAGGGTTCCTTTAGAAGGCCCAGGCGCAGTTCCTGAGACTTTTCGTGCTGGTTTGGAGGGTTCAGGGTGTAGGGTTGGAGGCTGAATTTCCGAGTTTGAAAGGGGTTTGGCTTAATTTTGTTGTTTTGGTGGGTTTAAATGGTTTAGGAGTTTAGGCTTAATCTAGCTGTTTCGGAGGTTCGGAGGTTTCGAGCTTCGGCTTCATTTGTTTGGCATGAGAGTAGGATTTCGGTCTCGAGTTGAGGATATAGAGTCTATAGCACTGTTATAGAAGGCTAACAATAGTAGAAGACCTGCTACTTGCCATCCATAACCCTGACCCCTAAATCCTCAACCCCAAAACCTAAACCCTGAAGCCTCCAATCCCAGCCCAGACCCGTCATTAACTCCTCATCATCTCCTGATAAACGGCTATCAACACCCGATACAACCCTACGCAGTAATCCCTTAAAGGAACCCCTCCAAGGAACCCCTATCCTTAAACCCTAAACCCAAACCCCCTATCCCTTAACCCTTCAAGGAAACTCTTCAAGGAGCCCTTGAAAGGAATCCTGAAACCTTTTGGTTTTCCCCTTAAACGGAGCCCTTAAAGGAAGCCTTATAAACCCCTTCACAGGAACAATCCCTTTAAAGGAATCCCCCTACTTACAGGGACGAGGCTCGCGAGGTGCTGCGGCTCCAGGACACTCGCATGCCTCATACAGACGCCCGAGGCTTGGCATGCTTCGAAGGGGTGATGCAGGGGCCGTAATACGGAGAATAGGGTTCCTTTAGAGGGGTCTAGAAGGGTTACAATAAGGGATCTATAAGGGGACTATGCTTCGAAGGAATTTGATGGTTTAGGAGTTTAGGGTTTAGGGTTGATGCAGGAGCCTAAATGATGAGAATAGGGTTTGGGGGTATATTCTGCTAGTCAGAATATGGCGGTCCATATGAAGTTTACAGCAACTAATTAGAATACTTTCTGGGGCATGTTCCACGATCATTATACTCCCAAAATAAGGCTTCAGCATTTGGGGCTCCGAGATTGAGCAAAGTTGGGAGTATAGGGCTCAGGACTCATGATTCAGCCTTTTGAGCTGAGAATTTAGGAAGTTTAGGACTCATGTCTGCAGGACGACTGTCTGGTTCTTAGTAGGGACTTGGGGAACGGATTATGGAAACTACTGTTGCGGATTATATGGGGACTACTTCAGGGATCCATTCCCCCATTCCCTACTAAGCACCAGACAGACTAGGCTTTAGGACTTATAGAACCATTTAAAGGAACAGTATGGAACAAATATAGATGCCTTTAAGGAAGCCTTATAGAAACCTTTAAAGGAAGAAATATAGATCCCTTTTTAAGGAACCGATTCGAGAGCATATTCTGGGCTTTCTGACCTCTCTTGGTCTTCGTGGCGCCAGGCCTCACCGGCTGCCCCACTGGCTACTGTCAGCTCTTCTTTTAAGGAAGGGTTTCGGGTTTAGGGTGTAGGGTTAGGGTTTTTCGTTTGTGTAGGGTTTACGGTTTTTGGGCTTTTGATCTATGGCTTAGAACTTTGGAGCTTACGGGCTTAGGGCTTGTAGCTGCGAGCCTGGTACTCTAGGTCCAAGTGTCTAAACAAGACACACTTCACCAGCTCCCACTTTCGGGGTATGATGACCGCTTAAATGAAGGCTGCAGATGATTTCTGTAAGGGTTTGGGGTAAGGAGCGTAAGCTACACAACTCCTATTCGAAAAACTCAACCCAGAAATACAAGACTCTGAGCACTGTAAGAACGGCGAACCTCTGACCAAAAACGATCAACCCCATTCACAAAAACCTGCCTGTAATAATCTAAGAGCATCCTATCAACACATCAAATGTCTACTCTTGCACACAGTTCCAGCACCTCGCGACGAAGTTCGCAAGCTGGGCGAAAAGCCTCAATTCATGTGACTTTTTCTGGCTGTGATCGGCGGTTTCGAATTCAGGGTTTAGGGAGTTTCAATCTCCTGGGTTCATGAGCCCCAAACAACAGATCCTCTTTTCCCCCCTATAAGCCTTAATTGAATCCCAATTCCTAATCTCGCAACTCTATTCACTCTAACCAACAAAACGACAAGCCCAAGCCCTCGATGTAATAACGGCAGCGTAAATCCTAGACTGCTCAGATTGAGAACCCCTGCACCCTAAACCCCAAGCCGCCAGGACACGGCCGGTGTGCCACACGCGCTGCAGCAAAAGCCCAAGCGAGCTGGGAGGTCATCCTACGGAGCTCGCAAGGCGGTGTGGGATTCTTTAGACGGTACTAGACAAGTTCTTTCAGGCTGTAAAGGTTCCATCAGGGTTCTATGGGGCTTCTTTCAGGGTTCTACGATTTACATGCAAGGCATCAAACGTAAACCCTGCACCTTGTACCCAAATTAAATCCCAACCCCTAAACCCCAACCACCTCAGAATGTGTGATCCTCATCACAAGCCTTGTACATATATATATATATATATATATATCCATATATATATATATATACACATAGATATGTATATATATATATATATATATACATGCATACAATATTTATGGTAACCCCCCGTCCGGACCAACCTCGGCCATGTCATTGCTCATGTCTGTCTTGACTTCATTCTGGATTGGAGCAGAACCCTTGTAAATAACAATAGGTTTTGTGTTCATGTACATTAGTTGCACTCTCGACTCCTTTTGACAGAGTGGTAAAAGCAGGATTCATTCTTTATGTATGCATTTATCATGAGATTGTGTTATGTGTTGTGAAATTTCTTTGCTCTCTCTCTCTCTCTCACGCATTATTCTCAGAGCCTACACTGCTGCATGTAAACATTTGCACAGGTAGGCCAGGTAGGCGCACACAGAACATGCATGCAAGTCTACGCTCTTTTCTAAGACGACAAACAATGGTATGCAAGTGCAGTCCTTGTGCGAAGGCTCGATACCCTACATTATTTTAGAGATATTGGCAGGGATTTCTTGCACACACACACAGAGTTGCGCACAGGTCACTCTCCATAGCCGCCACTGATCCGGTCGGAGATAGTGTTCATGTCCGCCGCACCACAAAGAAGACATGCTTGAAGCGATGGATTTCCATTCCTGCGCGCATGAATTTTAAAAATAGACACGAAAAAATGCATACTGAACTAAAGGCATCTTGCTTGATACACACTACCTGGAGTCAGACAGCCAACGAGCTTTGGATATGATCTGGGTGCAGTGGGCATGCTGAGGCTTTGTTCACGCGGATCTGCGAATGCGGTAATGTGATCCCATACCTCTATGGGAAGTTTAGTGCCCAAGGCGGCTTGCAGCCGCCAGGTATACGCCATGGCCTCTTTAAACTGGCAGGTCGCGTTTGCGAGCCAATGCTGCTGTGCTTGAAACTATGCATTGCATCATGACCATAGTGAAGCAAGTCACGTCAACAACATCATTCACATGTGTGCTTGCAGTTTCTTCCCGCAGCGTTAAGCGATGAATGCCTGAATCGAAATCACCGAGACATGTTAAGGCTCACTTGTCCAGGGCCTGGAGCATTGCACTTGTTGCCCCGGCTCCAGGATACCCACTGCGCGGATCAATCTTCCGCACGAGGATAGGGTCGCCGGGGTTACGGGCAGTGTGTCGGAAGGTCATTAAAAGGTAATCCATTGCGAAAGCAGTTCTGGAAATGACGAAGAGGACGCCCGAGCTTGCCATTTCGTTGTAGGTCATGGTATTGATCTCCTCACCCCTCAGGAACATCATGTTGTGCCTCACGTTTGTACGGCATCTGTTGCATATCTTCAAGATGGAGTCAATGTCGGTGATGGATTCAGACCCAATGAGAATCGCATCACAGTGCACATCCTTTCTTTGGAAGAGGGCTTTCCCGCATGCTGGGCATTCTTTATGCGGAAAGACGTAAGGCCCCATGACTACGTGATCTACTTTGCCAGGCTTGATTTGCAAGACCAAGCCTCAGGTCATGGCAGTCACTGATTCTGAAGTGCAGTGCACCATGTCCATAAAGGCATGAGACTTTGCAGAGCTTCTTTACTTTTTTCCCATACGCAAACTTCACGTTGCAGTCCTGAATTGCTGTGGCAATACCACAGTCAGACAAAAGTCGAGTGACTGCACTGAAGCCAACACAATGATGATGCTTATTCAGGCTGTTGTGTACTGACCAAGGCCCATGCTGCGTCACTTTGATAAAAGCAGACTACTACACTGAGCACGTATCCATGAACAGTATAGCTAGTTTTCTGGATCAGCACCTACCTGTGGAAAGATCATTGTGTGCCACTGCATATGCAGATACTGTGCACGTTCCTTGAACCAGCTTGTACAGCACATGTGCAAGTACTCGTGTTGCAACATCGGCAGTGCGTGCAGACCCGACAAGAATATCGGCACACCGCGCAGCTTCTTTTTTGCTTGCTGGACACGCAGAACTCGTCGCATTTACTTGGAGGGTTTATCCATCAAGCTCTTTGCATTGCGCACAGCACCCAACAAGTCAGACATGATCTTGCGCTTTTGGGGATTAATAGACTGTGCCTCTGCTAGCATGAGAACCTCTGCGTAGATGTCGTGCCAGTCACTGCTCCACTTGGTGTACTCCGGTAGAGGATCTGTAGATGAGCCCGACGACGAACCCGACGACTCGTCATCCGAGGAGGAATCGTCCGATGAATGCTTGTCGCTAGTGGGGTGCTTCTCATTGGTGGGGTCTTTCTCGTGCTTCACAGAAGTCTCCGCCGAGCCGTCAGTAACCTCGATGTTCTCAGTGGCTTTGTGATTCACCTTGATGTCCTCAATGGCTTTGTGACCCACCTTGGCGTCCTCAATGGCTTTGATGCTTGTAGATGTGCTCTGCTTCGATGTGCGTTTGCCACGCAAAAGTGCCGTCACCAATGCCTTCTCTGCTGATTCATTCCACATACCGAATGACCCAGTGGCATGAAACTTCTGCTTCTCCTGAGCGTGACAGATCATTGTCGACAAGGTGCGATCAGTTAGAGGCTGGCGACTCTCATGAACCATGATTGTGCCGTTGCTGATCTTGTCCTTGATCATGTCACGAATGTTTTGTCACTTTCGTGTGTACGTCTGGGGCCCCTGGTCGAGGAGCTTGTGGTGCATCATGTTCCAAGACCAAACTGACTTTGCCATCGGACATTGACACGGTGCCCTTCACATTCACGTTGTACGACATGGCTGCGATATGATGTGATACTGGCTTGGGTCACAATAGCAGTCTCGCATAACAGAAACGGTTTCGGAACACCGAGACAGTTTCGAAAGACATGTGGATGAACTCCTCTCTTTATGACTTTCATGCTCCTTTCTGACGTCAAAGCTCCTTGCAGGCGAGACACGAAATCAGCAAGGAGCAAGATGTAGCAAGTCGCGAAGTCGACATAGGAGACGAGTCTCCAAGTCACGACATCACCAATTCACCAACTCACCAATTCACCAATTCACCAATCCTCCTCCCCCTGGGGGGCGAAGCATTGGTGAATTGGTGAGTTGGTGAATTGGTGAGTTGGTGGATTGGTGAGTTGGTGGATTGGTGAACTGCTGAAGTTCGATTTGGATGTCACAACACCCTGTGCGCAACCTACAACCCCAAACGTGTACCGGAACGATGTTGAAAGAAGCATCGTGCACACCGAAACAGGTGTCCACGACACGCCTTTCTGTTATTCTTTATTCCCAGGTATTTGCCTGTGTTCCGCGTTTGACGGTGAGCTTCTTGCCATCTGGCAGTTGGACCGTGTAGTTATGTCAACAAGAAACGTTGCCCTTCACGATCTGCTTCATTTTCTGGTGTACCCCATTACAATGTATGACGTTCGGAAGCTTCAACTTATAGGAACGAGCACCATCGGTGTGCAAAGTCACTCCCTTCCCCGCCAGGTACTTCTCCGCGGTTGGTTTCCAGCAGGGCAAACAACCGTAGAGATGAAGTGCGTCCTCGCTCAACCAAACCACCCCATTGTTCGCACCGAATACTCAAATTTTCGTTGACAGGCTCGCTCACAACCGTAGACGATATCCTTCTCCTTCATGAGGACATACCTGGTTCGCGTAGTTTCGAGGCTGCCATAGATGGTGGAAATGATCGTATTGTTCACATCCAAGAGGAGATGGGTCTAGACCGTGGTGAGACCGATGATGGCGCAAAACAAAATCGCCGCCTGAATCGCAAGGGATGTGATACTGTTACCGTTGCCCTGCACAAAGATCGGGCGAAAATTGAGGGAATTTAAGGAATTCCTTGGATCCAACACATGGGGTTAGGAATTGGGAAATTTAAGGAATTCGCAAAATTCAGCACATGGGGGTGGGGGGGGGGTAGGAAATTAACGAAGTTAGGGCATGTAGGGAATTCAAGGTTGGTCTTGGGAGGGGCTAGCATGTGTGTATATATATATATATATATATGTATGTATGTATATATGTATATATGTATATATGTATATATGCATATATGTATATATGTATATATGTATATATGTATATATGTATATATGTATATATGTATATATGTATATATGCATGTACATATACATATACATATGTGAAGATATATTGAAGATATATATATATATATATATATATATAGTTATGTCTCTCTCTCTCTCTCTCTCTCTCTCTATCCGTGCTTGCCACGTGTCTGCGCGCTGAAGCGGCGCACGAAGCCTCAGACACAATGCTACGGTCTGTCGACTTCAGCGACGATGGCCACTACCATCGTTGGCAGTGTGTTGATATTCATCCATACGGCCCGTACTCATGCCAGTACAACGCCAACCACAAGCAAAATAGCAACAACAACAACAACAACAACAACAACAACAACAACAACCGCCTCCGAGGGCCCAATTTCGAACACTTAACCGCCGTAAGCTCTTAACCCCACCGAAATCTTAATCTAACGTTCGACCAAATGGCATCGGAGCGCTAGGGTCAAGTCCAAATCCCTCAAAGCGCCGTAGTTTACGATTTCAGGTTTGGGGCCTCAGGTTCGGACAGAGGGTTTTAGGGTCTGGGGTTCCGGAGTTCTGGGTTGATTGGAGGAGGATATGGGTTGGGGGGGGACCACTTAAAGGATCATGGGACTTAGTAACGAGGGTTATAATTAGGGTAACTCTACTTATCCAAGCAGTCTCTGGCAGGAGGCCATGATTCACCGTGTGGTCCGCAAGCATGTCGAACAACTCCTTCGCCGGCAAACATGGACCGAATGAAATACGCGGACACGATCGAAACGAGGGGATTATATAGTCAGTCCAGAAGACAACATCTGAACCGTTCGACACCAGTAGATCCGCTTTAAAACCTGGTATAATTGGGTGGTTGTCAAAATTGTGGTACTTTTTTGGGTCCTTATTATAATACGGCACCTGATATTTAGAGTTCCCAAGAAGGGACCATAATTTTGACCAACCACCCCAATACCCTCATAGCAGCCCCATAGAAAACGCTTTTTCACATTATTAAGCCAGATCAAGACACCGAAACTCGAGAGACCCAACGCACAAGGAAAGGAAATTCAAGACACGGAGACTTCGAAGCCTGGAACCCAACAGTCTAACTCAAGGGTGGAGGGTTTTGGGTTTAGGGTTTAGGGGGTTTCGGGTCTTTTTCTGGAGTTTAGGTTTCAGGGTTTCCGCAAGTCATTTTAATTATACGCTGGTGGCCGATTCCCTCCAAGCTTCTCTCTGTAAAGACTTGGCTCCATAACCTTGACAAACCCGAAACCGTACAGGGACTAACGGTGGCACGCGCACACCGCATACACGAAATGTCGGTTGGGCAACCAGCGAGTGTACGAACTGCGACTCTAACAAACCTTCCTAGTCGTTCGTTGCCGTGCATGCACTCGCAGCGGTGCCAAAACTGGAAACGTTGAATCCACAACTCCCCCAACACAATTCCAACAGGCAACCCCTGAAACCCTGAAGCCGAAACAGACCATGAAAACCCTAAAAACCCCCCCAATTCTGAGTCTGTCAGCCCTTCAACTGAACCTGCAGCGAAAGCCCAAAATCCGAGGCTGAGAAGCTTCCTGGGGTCTTAGGATTTGCGGCGCTGGGGTCTTCCGGCTTCTTTTGATTTTCGAGTTTAGGGTTAGGGTTTAAGGCTTAAGGTCGTAGAGGCTTTAATATGGGTTTGGGGTCTAGGGTCCAGGGATTAGGAGTTCCAGGGTTTAAGGGTTCGGGCTCCAGGGTCTGTGGCTAATTGCAAGTTTCACGGTTGGCAACCTTGTAGAACCACTAGTAACATGTAAAATGCTGAGGCAAGCTCCCTTCCTCGAGTAAAGACGATGATAATGATGGACAAGCCCTAAACCCCAAACCCTAAACCCTAAGCCCTAAACCGTCATGGTGATGATGGCGACGATGGGAGGAGGCTGGTGCGCCCGGAAGAGCCTTAACGTAAACTCCGCATGAAACACCATCGCCTTTGCATACCTGCCCGTAATTACTGTAGGAACCTTTATAATTAGAACGGGTTTTTGGGCTCCTGTATAGCATAATCATTATAAGGAACCCTAAGGAGTAATATTTGGGGTTTTGGGCTCCTTTGTAGCATAATCACAATAAGGAAACCTACGGAACAATATTGGTAATCATTTAGGCTTCTATCTCGGGCACTTCGGCCCGAGGACTAAGTGCGGAGTCATACAAGACCTTATGTAGGCAGCCGCTAAGTGTTCAGGGTTTAGGGCTTAGTGTTTAGGGTTGATAAGGTTCAGGGTTTAGGGCTTAGGGTTTAGGGCTAGCATTTAAAGTCGTGCCTCCTTTCGGGCAACTAAACTTTTATGAATCTCAAACTGCTCCAGCCAAGATTCTGCATCCGCGCAGTTGAGCCTGTGTGGCTTCTAGGCGCTGCACAGGGGTTCCCAAGTTCCCAAGACTTCAAGACCCCTTCATGCAGAAGAAACGTGCAGATACACAAAAGTTAGACCCAGGATCCTCAGCTTGGCTTCCATGATTTGGTTTATAGGTTTAGGGTTTAGGGTTTAGGGTATAGGGTTTAGGGTTTAGGGTTTAGGGTTTAGGGTTTAGGGTATAGATTTGGGCTTTCAGTTTTGGAGTTTGTGGGTTTAGAGGTTCAGGGTTGGCTTTGTGTTTCGAGCCCAAGGTCCCAGCAACGGCGTCGTGGTGTGTTGGAGAAGAAAAGTTGGAAGAACATAATGAAAGCTATGGTGGCTTGAGATGAGAACCATGGACTCATCCTTTGCTGGATTAAAGTTGCAAGCCTGGGCCCTAAACCGAAACACTGAAACCCTGCACCTGAAACCCTGAACCCTCAACCCGGACCGGCTCTACCCTCTACATCCAGTGTGCCCTGCTGCCGATCCATGAGACAACAGCCCTAGGTGCGCAAAGGCCAAGCGAGCGTCCGAGTACAGCAAAGGCAGCTGTGGCTGCACACCCTAGGGTAAAAGCCAGAAAGTTGGAATATGATTATCCTAAACCCTTTATGGTAAATTAAAGGGTATCCTACCCTGAAACCATATTCCAACTTTCTGGAGTTCCCTTACCCAGGCTGGACTTTGTTAAAACAGCCGAGTAAACCAGTTTGTAAATTCTAAACTCTACACTTAGTAAGGATCCAGGTTTAACACATGGAGGGGATTTTCGGCCAAATTTTCAGATTGCTACTCCCAAGCTCGATGATCCAAACCCCAATTCCGACTTCCATTTTGCAGGCTCAAGGCTAAAACCTAAACCCTAAACCCTAAACCCTAAACCACCTAAACCCTAAACCCCCTAAACCCTGAACTCCTAAGCAGAACCTCTAAACCCCCCCCCCCGGTCCTTAAGGTAATGCAGGATTTATATCATCAACCGTAGGACTCAGGGTTTAGGACTGAGGTTTTGGGTTTAGGAATATGAGGAGTTAAGGCCTATAGGGCTTCGGGTTTTAGGGTATATAGGGCTTAGGATGTTCGGGTTTCGACACTAAACCCCAAACCCTAAATCCCAAACCCTAAACCCTAAACCCCAAACCCTAAACCCTGAACCCTAAATCCTAAATCCTAAACCCTAAACCTAGAGCTCGGGAGGACCATGGCCGGGCAGCTTCGCCAGCGCCCAACAAAGGTGGGTCACATCGAAATCCGCGAAGTCGGCGATGGAGGTCCTGAGTCAAACCCTGCTTGGAAAGGGATCTAGAGGGATTCTATAAGGGTATAGGGTT